ATTGCTCAAGGCCATCGCTGCCCTGCCGGGGCCCTGCCCACCCGAGGTGGCCCCTCACTGGCATGTGCCCTGCGGTGGGGCAGGGGGGAAGCTGGCAGCTCTGGAAGAGTTCCGGCTGCAGAAAGAGGAACTCACAGAAAAGTTCGCGACCCTGGAGCACCAGCTACGGAAGCAGGAGTGTGACTACAAGGATTACGTGTACAACCTAGAGAAGAAGTCCGTGCTGGACAAGGACAGGTGGGCAGTTTGGGCGCTGGAGCGAAGCACAGTTCAGTCCTCGGGCCTCCCGACAGCCTCCGCTTTGAATTGCACTAGCTCAGGGTGCAGGGGGACTCCCCAGCCTGGCTGGTGATTTATAGAGGGCAGGAGAAAATAGATAAGCTCCCAGCTCTAGTCCTTACACGGGCATTACTGAATCCTTGAGATTTCCTTTTGGCACCTTCTGTGACTTAAATTATATTTGCTTAATAGGTAATGATAAAACATCGATATGGTTTCAAAACGCCAGGGGTAGAAAGGGTCTACAGTGAAAAGCCTCCTGCCTGGAGCCCCATTCCTCCTGGGAAACAGAGCATAGTGGTGGCCCTAAAAACTCTGGGGAACCCCACCTGGGAGGACGGTGCCTGTGCCCACTCTGCCTGATGCCCCCTCCTTCCTATCCATACTGTCTAGACTGAGGAAGGAGATCATCCAGCGCGTGAACTTGGTGGCCACCGAGTTCCGCAAGGTGGCCACTAACCAGATGTGGGACACGACAAAGCGGGCCATCATAGAGAACAACACGGTCACCCTGCAGCTGTCCAAGATATCCCGGCAAGGCATGCAGCTGCTGCAGGAGAATGAGCAGCTCAAGGGCACCCAGGACAAGCTGTGCAAACAGCTGGATCTGTTGGAGAACACCCAGAAGGCCATGGCCAGGCATAGTAGAGGCCACCATAAGGTGTGCCTGCCAAGCCCTCATTACAGGGCATTTGGCACATAGAGTAGGAGGGAACCCTAGGGGTGCTGCTTCAGGGCCAACACAGCATGGCAGGGTCAGAGCCAAGTCATGAGGGAGGCAGCAGTGAGGGGACAGGTTCCTTTGTGGGGGCTCCTGGGCGCACCTCTGGTTTTTCTTTATTTGGTCTAAAGCCCCTGTAACTCACTCAAGTGGAACCCACCCCTGGGCAGGCGGGGGCTTTCACCAGACATGGTGCTGGGCCCCGAGGACCATGGCTGGCTTCTCTGTACAACGGGGTGAGCTCTGGTTGAGTCCAGAGCCGGGGAAGTGGGGCTGGCCGAGGGCCCGCGGTGGGCCCAGGGTATGGCCACCTGCCCGCACCTGCAGATCATCCTCATGCTGACCGAGAAGTGCCTCAAGCAGCAGCAGAGCACTGCGGAGGCCGAGCAGCTGCGCCTCCAGCTGAGCCAGGTGGAGCGGAGCCTCAGGCAGCTGCAGCAGGACAACCAGGCCCTGAGGTGGGGCCCAGAGAAGGGCGAGCAGTGGGAGCAAGGATGGGGTGGGGGAGGTAGGGGGTGGAACTTGAGCCCATCCCTTTTGGGCCACATGACATGACACAGGCCAGTGGCTTCCCCTTTCTCGAGGGGTCCTGAGGCTAAGGCCTGGGGCTGGAGGAAGGGCCCCTGTGGGCTAGAGAGAAACTGCCAAGCACAGGGAGGGGGCTGACTCGTCCCCGATCCTGGGTCCAGGAGTCAGAGAGACCAGCTCAACTTGCAGCTGGAGAAGCAGCAGGCTAAGGCACAACAGCTACAGCAGGAGCTGACTGAAGAGCAGAAGGTTCGGGCAAGTCTGGAGACCGCCCTGGCCCATGCCACCTTCTTCCTACAGGACATTCTACAGGTAAAAGGAAGTGGGTAAAAGTCAGGGGCGGAGGGAGTGGGCCATCAGTGTCTGATGGCAGACACTGCTTGGAGATAATGGGGACACCGAGAGATGGCCAGGCCAGGGCCAGAGGCCCCACCTTTCCCCTGAGAAACTCGAGGCAAGTTTGTCCTTTCCTGATCCTGTAGTCCAAAGACCCCTTGAAGGTCTCAAAGTTGCTGGAGTCTCTCTCTGAGGCCCTGGAAAGCCTCGTGCTTCAGGCTTCCCATCTGGAGAATGGGTGTCCCACCACAGCCACGGTACACTTGGAGAAAACAGGCACCGGGGCTGGAGTTTCCCAGAGGTGGGTGTTAGGGCCACTCTGGTCCTGATCCCCAAGGGCCCACCCCCACTGGCAGATGCGACCTGATGAGGAGGATGGCGACTTTGATGTAGTGTTCCAGCTACAGCGCAAGGAGATGCTGCAGCAGCTGCTGACCATGCTCAGCTCGGCCATGGTCCTAAGTCCCCAGCTGGCTGTGTGTCCCCGCCGGGAGAGCAAGCCCCATGGCCCACCCAAGGAGAGGTGAGTGACCCTGAATGACTTCAGAGGAGGCAGCTGTGGGAACCTTTCCAAGGGCTCTTCTCAGCTGACCCTGGGCCACCAGAAACCTGGCTCCCCAAAGCCTTTCTGAACCTCTTATGAAATGGAGGTGGTGATGCCAGCCCCCTCTCCACAGCCAGCCCAGCACACAGCCACCCAAGATGGGGTCTCTGCCTTGGCAGCTATCCAACATCACACCCTACCAGCCGGGGGACCTGGGCCTGGTGCCACGACGGGCCCACATCCCACCCAACCCTGAGGACCTCAGGCTGCTCTCACACACCACCCGTGTGGGAACCTTCCAGGTGCATAGCTGCCCTGAGGTGAGAGTGCCGGGGCCCCAGGGGCGGCAAGATAGCAGCCAGCCCAAGGTACAGATCATAGCTCTGCCGCAGTGCTGTTGTATGGCCTGGGAGCTGTGCCTAGGTCTCTAGGCCTTCATTTCCCCACCTGTAAAATGGGCCAAAGAAAAGCGGGGCAAGGCTGCAGTGGGCTAAAGCATGCCCACACATCGCCTGGGAAGGGGGCTTGCTGGACCCTGTTGGCGCCTCCTCCATTGGCAGGCGAAGGGTGGGACCCGCCTGAGGAGGCCTCAGCTTCAAGCCACATCTTTCATCTTACAGATCCACACCTCTGGTTCTCCAAAAAGGTTCAAAAAGTTTAGTCTTCCTGAAGTTTCTCTACTTTCTAAGTAAGACACAGAGAGATGACCAACCCCTATTCCAGAAGTGGGCCACTGTGGCCACAGTCTCTTTAATTAACAGGCAGTCTGGGGCAGCCCAGAGAAGAGTTCTATAAAAAGTGGATACCACAAAGTTGGCATGGCACCTCTGTGAACGTGCTTGGGGGTGTGGGCATGGTGGTCAGGCAGGCTCGTGTCCAGTGACGGCAAAGCCTGACGGGGGGCCCTGGCTTCGCTCACGGATGTGGTCCAGGAGCAGGTCGGCAGCTCGCTCCAGCAATGGAGGCAGCAGCTCCTGTTCAGCGGCGGAGAAACAGCCCAGCACGTGGGCCTGCACCATGTCAGGGTGTGACGGGCGCCCGATGCCCACCCGCAGCCTTGGCATTGCCTGTGGGGTCAGAGGGGCCCAGAGAGCTTTGAGAAGAAGAGCCCCATGCTGGCCCACCAGACCCAGTGCGGGACAGAGGACAGAGGGGCGGACTCACACTGGAGTTGAGACACGCAATGCAGGAACGGACTCCGTTGTGGCCCCTTCAAAGGGATATAGAAGGGGCAATTAGTGCTTCCCTGGATCAGCACCCTTCATCCCTCCCAGCCCCGGCTGGGGTCAGAGCACCCCTATTCCCTGCCAAGACGGGGGGGGGGGGGGGGGAGGCACCGGTACCCCACTTGCAACTCGGGGGCTCCTCCCTAGCCCACCCTGACCTGCTGAGGCCTCACCTGGAGCTTCCCCCAAGCTTCAGAGCCAGTTTCCCAAGGGGCTTGTCCAGTTCATCGTGCACCAAGTAGACCTCCTCAGCAGTCAGCCCAAACAGCTCGGCTGCGCGCAGACAACAGGGGCCCTGGTTACCGCCCATCAGCCCACAGGGGTGGTCCCGATTCACAGCTCTCATGCGGCGGGACCGCAATTAACCCCATTTCACATATAAGGCACCTGAGAGTCCCACAAGTACCCAAGGCCACATGCAGCAGCTGGAGCTCAACAGGCACCTGGAGGGGAACAGATCCGCCGCCGCCCAGAACCCCTCCTCTGGCCTCTGCGGCCCCCTCGCCCCGGCCGGCCGCCTCGGGTGCCCTCAACTCACCCGCCCGGGCCACGCTGCGCCCGTTGACGTTCATGAGGCGCCGCGGCCGAAGCAGGACGAGCTGGGCATCCCCGAGCGAGGCCAGGGCGAGGTCGGCGGCGCAGTGCCGGTCGCGCGCCCAGCCGTCCGCCACTCCCAGCCGCTGCGCCAGCTGCCCCAGCACCGCCAAGCCCACGCTGTGCCGCGTGCGGGGCAGTCCAGGGTTCCCCAGGTCGGCCACCTGCGGGCGGCACCCGGCAAACTGAGGCCCGACCTCTCCCGCCACCCTCTACCTCACAGCGCCCCCTAGGACCCAAACCAGAGAAAGGAAAATGGGAGGGTAGGGTAGAGTGGGGAAGGGGCGCGAAGGGGGGCCCAGAACCCCCGGAGACTCCGGAAGCCCGAGGGCCCCGCCAGCTGAGCGGTCAGGGCAATGTTCCCGGGAGTTTAAGGCCCGTCAGAATACTGGACCCATTTTCCAGATAAGAAAATCGAGACAAGGAATTTAGGGAATGTTGTCTGGAGACAATGGCAGAACAGGAGCTAGTTAGAGCCCAGGAGCCCCTACGCCGCCGCCTGCCAAGCCACTCACCAGCCACCGCTTCCCCGGGGGCCGGGGTTCCAAAACGCCCAGGCTCAAGCACCGCCTCATGGCCCGCCTCAGCCCCAGCGTCGCTCTCAGGCGGCTAGAGGCGGCATGCTACCCTTATCCACGTCCTCGGCCCCGCCCCCTGACGTCCTCTGCCCTCGACCAATCGCGGCGGCCAACTGTCCCCAGCGTCCAATCCCGGGCGAGCCTCGGGCCTCCGGGCTTCTAAGGAGCGGAAGTGGCGGGGCGGTGGCCTTGACTGGCCCCTCAGCTGCTTCCGCGGCGCCGCCTCGCCGCGTTCTTGTGGGGTTTACTGTGAACTCGCGGAGCCCTTGTATGACCTCCGGGTCGGGAGGAGGGAGCCTTGTTGTGGCCCCTGCTGTGGCCCTGCCTCGCTGCGGAAACCTGACGAGTCGTCTCCCTGACGTAGCCTCAGCCTCCCCGGCGGATAAATCCGCTAATCTCCTCGCGGCTCTAACAAGCCTTGGATCCCGGAGGCGTGGGCTGAGGGGGCGGAGCCTGGGGGCGTCCTGGAGGTGGCTCCTAGCAACGCGGGGAGTGGGTCTCCGGAGGCTCTCGCGGAAGGGAGTTCATGACAAACTCCGCAGAGGTGCGGGGGAGGGTCGGGAGAGAAGAGGCCGAGGCCGAGTTCTCAGGAGAGGTTTTAAGTACAGGAGAGGCAGCATAGGTTGTGCAATTCAGGAAAGCCCTGGCCGCAGGGCCGAGAAGTGAGGGCTTGAGACGTGTGAGCGGTTGGGGAGGTGGGAGAGTTGGCCGGAGCTGGTGTCCCGGCAGAGAGGGCAGTGGCCCAGACGAGAGGATGAGAGAAGAGAAGGGATCTAAGATCTTTAGGAAGTGGGACAGGCAGGACATGAGGACTGATAGGGCGAAGGTGATTGGCTGAAAAGGTGGGCTCACCAAGGTGGGGAAGCCTGGGGCAGAAGTCAGGTGAGGTGTTCAATTTGCCCTGCTGGGCCTGAGGGTCCCTCAGGATATGCAAAGGGCTGCAGGACCTCCTGGGCCTGAGCTGGAGACATTAGAGTTTTGGGGTGTTTGGGGAATTTGGGAGCTAGAGGTGGAGCTGAGGGCGACCAGAAGGAGAGCAGAGTGCAGTGTAAGAACTCTGGCCCCTGACCTTGACCACAGGAGAGGGAGAGAGGCAGGATTGGAGAGAGAGAAGTTGGAATATCCCTAAGGGGAACGGGACTGGGACTGCCACCTTCTCCAGTAACCAAATTGTGCCTCCTGCCAGCCCTGGTTCATCCTGTAAAACACCTGAGGAGTGTGCAAGAGGGGCAGGGTCATCTCTGAGGCCTGCCCCAGCTTGCTGTCCCTTGGTTCTAGGATGCTCTGGAGCTTGACCCGGCTCCATCAAAGCCCATCTCAAAGCCATGGGTGTTTCCAGTCCCAAAGGGAGCCCTACAGCGGATCTTTGGGAGCAGCCAGGTGTTCCGGAACTTGGATGTTGTAAAACCGAAGATCGCGGGATTAACAGTGCCCCTCAAAGTCAGGGAGTAGTGAGTGACTGATTACCTTGTCCCCTGGTCCCAGGTTCCCGTCCTGCACAGCCAGTGGCGTGCCCTACAGCCTTGGGTCAGTCACTCTCCCTCTCTGGGCTTCAGTGAATTCAACTGTATAGTAGGGCTCTTCCACCTCAGCGTATGCAAGGCTGCTGGCATGTATGAGATCCAAGACTACCAGGCTCCTCTCCCTAGGTCTCTGTCTACTGGCCCCACCCTGTCTCTCCACCTACATCCCCCCTCCTCCCAACCTGATCCAGTGGCAACAGCTGTACGCCCTGAGCTGGTCAAAGCCAGCGCCAGCCCCTCTGCCTGTACCCCCCCTTCCCCCACAGCTACCACCAAGGCCTGCAGTGCTTGGAGAAAGAGGACTGGGAGATGGCTGTGCTCTTCTTTTCCCGTGCCCTCCACCTGGACTTTGAGCTGGTGAGGGGGTAGGTACGGGCGGTTGCTGACACTTTGCACTCACTATCCTGCCTGCCGGGCTTCTCCTCTCGGGGCCACCAAGTTCCTTCTGGTCGTTGAGCATCAGCCCTCAGCAGACGGTGCAGAAGGGACAGCAGCCTGGGTCCCCTCTTCCTCAGGTAGACTTCTACGCTTTACGAGCTGAGGCCTACATCCAGCTCTGTGACTTCTCCTCAGCTGCCCAGAACCTGCGAAGGGCCTACTCCTTCCAGCCAGAGAACACCAAGTACCTGGAGCGACTTACCTTGGTCCTTTACCTGCAGGTGCCTGGAGCTGCTGCAGGCCTACCCACGGTGCCCGCCCCACACCCAAGCTCTCCTTGGCTCTTCTTCCAGCTGTGGGGGGTTTTCCTTGCTCCTGGGACCAGCTCTGTCTCTCTAGGGACCTTCTTGTCCCCGTGTCTGCATCTGTACCTCCTGCCCCTCTCATGACCTCTCCCACCTCCACAGGTGGTTTACCACCAGGGCTGGATAAAGTTCTGCAGCATTGCCCAATAGAACTTTCTGCAGTGATGATAGTGGTCTGCTAGGCACTGTCCAATCTGGTAGCCGTCAGCCACATGGAACTGTCGAGCCCTTAAAATGTAGTAAGTGTGAGTGAGGAACTGAATTTTAATTTTATTTAATTAATTAATTTAAATTTGTACAGCCACGTGAAGTGAGTGGCTGCTGTGCTGGACCCCACAAACCTAGCATCTAGAGGACCTAAGCACTAAAAAGGCAATAGCATCCCCCTTTTACAAGTCAGAATAAAAATACCAATCCACGAAATACCGACAAAGTCCAAAGTTTTCTGTTTCTCTACATTCCTGTTTCTATATTGCCATCTTGCCAACTATAGAATTCTGCCTCTGCTGTCTCTCCCTCGCTCTGTATCTCTCTCCATCTCTGTCACCTTCTCTCCATCTCTCTATCTCTCTCTGTCCCTGTGTCTCTGTCCCCTGAAGTTTCTCCCAGATCTAAAGGGCTGTGTCCCTGGCTCTTGTCTCTCTCCCTTCCCGCCCCAGTGGGCGCCCCCTGTAGCTAGTGGGTGCTGCTGGGCCAGAGTCACAAGCAGAAGGGACTATCCCCTGTGTCCCCAGGGCCAGTGCCTGTTTGAGCAATGTGCCTTCCAGGAAGCCCTGAGGGTCTTCTCACAAGCCTCTGCGCTCCAGCCGGGGAAAGCCAGCTTCCGTTACCGATGGTAAGTGCCGGGTGCGGCCATGTTCTCCCTGCAGCCTCTTCCTGCCCCTCTTGCCCGGCAGACACTAGAGTGTCTTTGCCCTCTGTCCTCAGCATGGCCTGTCTCCTGGCCCTCGAACAGTATCAGGACTGCCTCTCACTCGTCACCGAAGAGGTGAAGCTTGGTACAACCAATGCCGATGTCTTCATCCTCCGAGCCAGGCTCTACAACTTCTTCCAGAAGGTAGAGCAGAGAGGGTGGGGCAGGGGTGGCCCTCCCCCTGTGTGGGTGCCCCCAGCATACCCTGAGATTAGCATACCCTGAGATTACCCCAGCTGCCCGCGTGGTGGGGACCTTTGCTGACCACCCAGCATAGTTGTCTGGCTATCACTCAGTTCTAGCTCCGTGTCAGGCCTGGTCGGCTCCCAGAAGCCACAAGGTGAGAAACCTGTGCCATCCCTGTCCTTGTGGAAGTTAGAGCCCAAGGGAGACATCCTTGAGCAGATAATTGCACAGAGAATGATTTCACAGTGTGGGAAGCAGCACAGGGTAGGAGTACCCAAGGATCCTTTAGATAAGGTGGCCTTCGTCCTCCTTTCCTGTCTCTTCTTATTTGCCTCACTGTCCAGGCTTAGAGCCAGGCAGTACAGGGAACAGCCTGGGGACAAGGGAGACTTGGGGTTACAAGAGAGAAGGGACTGCAGGTATGAGAGGACATCAGCCAGGGTTTGGGGAACCTAGGAGGCCCCTGACTTCTTCCTGGGGACAACAGAAGCCTCAAAAGGGTGCTTCCTGGGGCAGTGGGATTTAGAAAGATCCTTTGGCTACCAGGGGGAGTCTGGCTGGAGGGGCAAGTCTGGAGGCCAGGAGCCTGGTGCCGTCCAGCCAGAGAGGAGGGCAGAGGCAAGGATGGCCATGAGGGTGGCCAGAAAGGGGCCAGTCCCACAGTCCTTTGGGAGTCAGGAGCAAAGACAGATGGGGGAGGGCAGGGAAAGGGAAGGATCCAGAACAATGGTTGGTGTTCGGGCTTGGCCTGGTGCACGGGAGCTGGGAAACTCTGGAGGACGAAGAGGTAAGTAGGTTCACATCAGTCACCAGGTGGTGCATCCTGGGGGTGGCTGGAAACCTGACCCTCCCTATGCTGGGGACTGGGCTTCTGGGCCCCCACAGTGAGTCAGTGACAGGCTCTCCTTCCAAGGCAGGAGACTAGTAATTATTGATAATTGTTGACTGTGGGAGTTCGGCCCCTCCTGTCACCTCAGCCCCTGTAATGCACAGGCACATTCTAAGCACTTGACTCACACTTGTCTTTAAGACTTGAGGTAATGGTTTGAGTAGATACAACCCATTGTCCTCTTTTCACGAGGAGGAGATGGATCCAGAGGGCCTGGGTGACTTGCCCAAGGTCACACAACCAGTTCTCTGTGGTATCACCCTTGAACCGACCTACTCCAAAGCCCTGTACTGAGCCTCTGCCATCTTCCCCCTCCTGACTTCCACCCACAACTGGTGTCCACACTGTTTGTCTTGTTTGCCATCCAACCCATTACCCTACAAAACTGTTTGTTGACTGACTGACAGACTTGCTCACCCAGTGGAAGCTATTTGCCTGGGGATGTTTTCTGCTCAGGCCCAGGCCTGCATCTATTGTCAGAGTTGTCTTGGGCTTAAAGGTCAGGGTAGTTGGGGAGGGCATGTGCTTGGGACTATAGGGAGGATGTGATAGTCACCGTCAGAAGGATACACCCTTCCCCCACCTTGAGGGACCTTGGAAGAAGTCCTCGGAGGAGGAGGCAGCTGCAACACTGTTCTCCAGCAGAAACCATCCAGGCTGACCTGGCTCTCCTGAGGTCACGTCTGTAAAGGGACCGGCAAGGATGGGGGCTGGGATGGGATTTTCCCATAATGCTCCCTGCTGCTTTCATGAGGTGAAAAGGTGGCATAGCAGTGCAGGGACATCAAGGGTAGGTGACATGGTCTGGAGGTGTGCCTCTCCACGGGACAGGGCAGAGCAGAGCTCTGCTTAGCCTGCCACCCTGATGACATCCCTGGGCCCCTGCAGCCCAGCCTCTGCTATCAAGACCTGCACAGTGCCTTACTGTTGGACCCCAAGCACCCACAAGCCAAGGTGCTGCTCCAGATGATGGTGGACCAAGCCCAGCAGGCGCGTCAGGATGCCGGGATCCTGGCCGTGCAGGGCAAGCTGCAGCACGCCCTGCAGTGCATCAACTGTGCCATCGAGAACAACCCTCTGGACCCTGGCCTCTTCCTCTTCCGGTACTGTGTGGACAGGTCCCCACCTTGGGTCCTGCTGTATGGTCTCAGAAGAGCTTCCCTGGACCTTAGTTTCCCCAAGTAATCCTTCCCTACTCCCTATCAGGGTCAAAGCCAGGGAGAGGTCTCACCTACTGTTGCCCTTAGAGGAGGGGGCAGGCAGTCACCTTCATTCCCCTGGGGATCCCGGACCCCCAGGGCTACTGAGCATTCATGCTGGGAGGCTCGGTCCAGCACCATGGACAAGGCTTGGGTTTGAATCTATGCCTTGCCCCCAGGACTTCTTATGTGATTTGGGGCCATTTAACATGCTTGAGTCTAGGTTTTCTCATATAAGCAGTGGGGCAAAACGTCTGTCCCAGGTACAAAAAGGCCTTTGTGTAGAGGTTGGCACGCACGCACCTCCTTCCTAAAAAGAAAGATGGAAGCTATTTTGGGGTAAAGCAAAACCACCTGTGACCAGCAGGCTAGCCAAGTAGAAAATTCCAAGCCAGCCCCACACCCAAGCCAGCGCAAGAAGATAGGACCCTCCGGCCACAACCCAGGTCAGAAGGCCCAGAGTGGTCACCGTCCTGGCCGGCTGCCCCAGTGGGTGGGGGCGACTTGGCCTTCATGTCTGTCCCCCACAGGGGCACCATGTACCGCCGACTCCAGGAGTTTGATGCCGCCGTGGAGGACTTCCTGAAGGCTCTGGACATGATGAGCGAGAGCCAGGAGCGCGCCGTGCAGCAGGCCCAGCGGCAGCTACTGCTGACCTACAACGACTTTGCTGTGCACTGCTACCTGCAGGGCGCCTACCAGGAGGGCGTGCTGCTGCTCAACAAGGCCCTCAAGGACGAGCAGCAGGAGAAGGGCCTCTACATCAACCGGGGCGGTGAGCAGGGGGCTGCCTGCCCCCCAAGGGCCTGGGCTGGGTCGGTGGGGGAGAGCCTCAGGGCCCTGGGGACACACTCTGCAAAGTGTTGCCTTCCACAAACTGGCTACAGTGTCTTCAGAACACTCAGAACCAGGCTGGGAAAAGGTCCCCCGAGGCCTGGAAAACCTTGGCGGGCACCCTCCACCCGCCCACAGGCGTGGGAGTTGGGGAGTTCACAGCCACGGGGCTCGGGATTCCCCAGAGGGTGCAGCAGGCTGGGCTGGGGCTCCTGGGCACTGGGGTCAGGGGCACGCTCAGCCCCTGCATCCATCCCCGGGCCCTAGATTGCTTCTTCCAGCTGGGCAACCTGCTCTTTGCGGAGGCCGACTACCAGCAGGCGCTGGCACTGAGCCCGCAGGATGAGGGCGCCAACCTGCGCATGGGGCTGCTACAGGAGAAGATGGGCTTCTGCGAGCAGAGGGGCAGGTGCACGCTGCGGGCGGACCCTGGGGCTGGGGGCTGGGGGTTGGCACGGAGCCGCCTGTTGGGACCCCTGGGTCCCAGCTAGATCTCCTAAACAATGGTTTTAGTTTTCAAGCTTTTGTGAAAAATTCTTCACTTTTTTTCTGAATATCGTTATGGTAATTGTGCTTTATAAAAGAAAACTGAAGTGTTGGGTAATGGATAATTCAGAACCCGAACGTTCCTTCTAATACCTGTTTCCCAACACCAGCCCTGCCACGGGTTGGGTAAAGATACCTCCAGATTGTTTCCTATACATATGTTTTTTTGTTTTTGTTTTTTTTAAGATTTATTTATTTATTTGATGGACGGATCACAAGTAGGCAGAGAGGCAGGTAGAGAGTGGTGGGGGGGGATGAGCAGAGAGCCCAATGTGGGGCTCAATCGATCCTAGGACCCTGAGATCATGACCTGGGCTGAAGGCAGAGGCTTTAACCCACTGAGCCACCCAGGTGCCCCATTTTCTATACATATGTTAACAATTACTATCATTTTACAAAAGTCAAGTCATGCTAAACTGTTTTTTGACTTTTTTTTTTTTACTTCCAATGTCGTCATATATAGGACTACCTCATTCTCTCTTACTATTTGCATAGTATTCCATCCTATGGAAGTACCACAATTCATTTCTGTAGACAACCCTCTACTGATGACTAGTTGGGCTGTTTTCTGTTATTACAATATAACGAGCATTCAGGACATACATTTTCATGCATTATACTAGTAATCCTGTAGTTAGATTCCAGGAGCTAAACTGTTGTTAAAGGGTATGAACAGGGGTGCTTGAGTGGCTCAGTGGGTTAAGCCTCTGCCTTTGGCTTGGGTTGGGCTCTCTGCTCAGCAGGGAGCCTGCTTCCCTTCCTCTCTCTCTGCCTGCGTCTCTTCTTACTTGTGATCTCTGTCTGTCAATAAATAAATAAAATCTTAAAAAAAAAAAGGGGGTGAGAACATTTAACATTTTAAAACATAATAATATCCAGGGGCGCCTGGCTGGCTCAGTCAGTAGAGCTCTTGATCTCGGCCATGAGTTCAAACCACACACTGGGCTTAGAGCCCACTTAAATAAAATCTTTAAAAAATAATAAATTACTCATTAAAACTTGCTGTTGCAGGAGTTCTCTGTAGGTTAGGAAACTGAGCTGATTGTCTGCCCTCTATGGGAAAATGTATTTCCCCTATGTATTGCATTCCTTTGTGATGGTTTTGCTACTCAGTAATTTGGGATTGAATTGTGGTCAAATTAGTTTTCTCATTTTTATTATTTTTAAAAATTTTTTTAAAGATTTATTTATTTATTTGACAGGTAGAGATCACAAGTAGGCAGAGAGGCAGGCAGAGAGAGAGAGAGAAAGGAGGAAGCAGGCTCCCTGCTAAGCAGAAAGCCCGATGCGGGGCTTGATCCCAGGACCCTGGGAACATGACCTGAGCCGAAGGCAGAGGCTTTAACCCACTGAGCCACCCAGGCGCCCCAATTTTCTCTTTTTAGCTGCTGGGTTTGTGAGATTCTCGAAAGGTCCTCTTTACTCTAGGATATTAAAAATGTTCACTTTTGTTGGGGTCTTGTACTAACGTAAGCATTGGAGCCCTTAAGAGTGTAGCTGGCAGAGGAAGAACAGAGGGGCATGGTGGAGGTGGGGTAGCAGAGACCAGCCTGATATCCCCCGAACTCCCCAGCGGGTCCCAGGAGCTGCCATTTCCCTCCCTGGGGCCCAGCACACAGCAGCTTGGGGCCCACTGTGTCCCGCAGGCAGTTCCATAAGGCGGAGAGCCACTTCTCCATGGCCATCCAGCACAACCCCCAGAAGGCCCAGTACTACCTGTACCGTGCCAGGAGCCGGCAGCTTCTGCAGAACATTTTGGGGGCCCGCCTGGATGTTGCCACCGTCCTGCTTCTCAACCCCAAGCAACCCAAGGTAGGTTCTTGCTGGGCCAGAAGGACGGGCTCCAGAGAAGTCTGGTTTCCTAGCAAAACTACGAGCTGCCGACCCCAGGCAGTTAACCGTGCCAGGTTTCAGCTACTTCTGGTGTTGCTCGGGTTACCCCTCTTTAGCACCCCAGGAGACAGCTAACATCCCCCCCCACCCACTTGCAGCTGAAGAGGGTAGGGCTCAAAGAAGTCCATACCCTTGCTCCAGGGCACAAGGCTTTGAGGTCAGCCCCCAAGGTGTCCGAGCGCCCTCTCCCTGGTGGGCCTCTTCACAGTCTCTTCCTGGTTCTGGGGAGGTGGTCTGGTCCTCGAAAGTCGGACATTAGTAAACCCTTCCCACCTCCGCCCTGAGAAGGGCCCTGCGAGGGCAGGGCAGCAACACACCGTCTGTCCCCTGCCCTGGTCCACACCCGGCTCTTTCTGGCAGCTGCTCACCCTGATGGCCAGCCTCTTCCCGGGCATGTCGGTGGAGGATGTGCTCTGCAGCCAGGTGGCCCACCTGGCCAGGCTGCAGTTGGATCGGGTGTTGGAGAGAAGCAGCCTGCAGACTGGCATCCCTCAAGGCATCGTGGGGCAAGTTCCTCAAGTGGGGGCCATGGGTCGGGAGTGGGAAATGGCTGGGCTTCAAGGCTCCTCCTGCCCCTGCTGCCTCCTCAGGGCCACTCTCCAGACCCTGGGGAGGGTGGGCTGAGTCGGGGGGCTCACCCAGCACTCTGGGGCCGTGGCTCAGCAGGCAGCTCAGGGAGCGGGAACTAGAGCGCCAGAAGGCTCGGGCCCTGCAGTTCTGGTGGAAGCCTTTGTTTGGGATCTCTGAAGAGCTCGAGGCCGCTCCCCAGACGCTGACAGGGGAGCCAGCAGGTGCAAAGGCAGCCGAGGCCCTCCATGAGGAGGAAGAGGTAAGTGGGCTATACACGCCGGGCCTACAGCGCTAGAGGTCTGGGTTAGGGCGTAGCCCACCCGAGCCAGGGCTGAGGGAGGCAGAGTGGCTGGAGGCTGGCATCCGGGCCTGGTTCTGCCACTACTTGGCTGTGTGACTTGGGCTGGGGTCTTTCTGCTGTGAAGTAGGGATGCTACCAATAAGGGGTATCCTTGAGGGAGGGCACAGGGATGTGGGCCCCTTATGGAAAGGCCTCCCCAAACCTTGCCACACTCACCTACATAAATTCTGTGTGCACTGGGCATTGGTGCCAGGATTTTATTCTTAAAACTGTCTCTAAGAACTTTTTATTGAATGTCACATAAATACAGAAAAGTACACAAATCATCAGTGATTGAGCTGATGAATTTTCACAGAGTACACCCATGACACCATTACCTATGAAAGAACACACTCCCAGCTCCCCAGGGCCCCCTCATGCCCCCTGCTAGGCCCCGCCCTTAGCCCAGTGCACCCCCAAGGCTGTCCTGATCCCTGACATCACAACTGAACATGCGTGTTCTTCACATCAGTGGACAAGTACGGTGTGCCCGCTTGTCTCGGACTCTCTTCGCTAAGCATGTTTGTGGGATGCATCTAAGTTGACTGCTTGTTCTCATCGCTGGTCGAGAATTCCATCCTACAAAAGTCCCACAGTCTGTCCACTCAGCAGCTGACGGGACAGCAAGTACCTTTGTGTTCAAAGAAAACTTCACGGAAATGAAGTAGATGGGAGATCAACATCCCTTGCCATAAATGGAAGAGGCTAGCCCTAGAGTTCTCTAGTTCACACCGGAACTCAAAAGTCTAAAACTTTGTGCCCCCGCTGAGGTCACTGTGAGCTCCCTCCCTCGGGGAGATGTGGAGCCGGCGCTGCCTGCGGGTTGCTGGGGCTCCGCCTGCCCACTCCCCGCACCCACACATCCCTCGCCTGCGGGCGTGCGTGGGCCAGAGGCGGCAGCCAGGAGCCCGGCTGTGGAGTCCCACAGGTCTGGACTCGAGCTCTGCTCCCCTGCTTCTTAGCTCAGTGTTGTGTGCAGGCTGCTTAGGCTCCTGGAGTCTTGGTTCCTGGTCCAGGAAATGGTAAAAGCAGTCGCTCCCTCCCAGATATGTGGGAGGACGAGATGGGATAGGACGGTAAGCACAGAAAGCTCAGTTCTTCACTAACCATTCCCCAGGGCATGGCGCTCTACAGTTCCTAAAGGACTGTAATTTGCACTTTGCAGAGGGCAGAACTGAGACCCAAACAGCCTTTCGAATGCTGCCGGATTTCTCACAGTGCCCTGCCAGTCTAGTCTGACCACTCCCCTTCCTGTCCAGTCTTCACCTCTCCTCGTGCTGCGTGGCCCCAGCTGGGCCCCCTGAAGAGCTCTAAGCCCCCGGCCTTCCTTCCAGAGCTGAGCGGCTGGCCCAGGGGGCCTCCCACAGCCAGCAACTTCCCCACCTTTCTTCTGCCCCAGGAAGAGCAGCAGGAGCCCGCAGCCAGAAGGGTGAGGTCCCCGTCCGAAGGCTACCCCGACCAGACCTCTTCAGGCTCCGTCTTCGGCTGTAAGTGCCCAGTCTCCCACCAGGCCCAAGTAAGCCAAAGCAGCAGGGAAGGCCAAGGTCAGGGGTCAGAGACTCCTTGGCCTGCATGTGCATTTGGGCTCTGCTACTAGTTCTGTGACTATAGAGAGGAGGAAGTATCCTGACTTTGAAGGGGGCGTGGTGAGCCCTCAGTGCCTCCCCCACATATCCCACGGCCCTGGCCCACCTGCAGGAGTGCTGGGCTGGCTTCATCTGGCAGGCCTGCCCCTAGGCCATGCAAGGCCTCTGGGATACAGGCAAGGGTGAGGCCTATACCTCCTTTTCCTAGAGCTGTTTGGGAAGGGCAGCCTAACAGACGCTCTTGGCACGTCCCTCCCAGTCGGGACCATGTCCACCTCAGAGACGTCAACTGTTTGCAAGGAATACAGGAGCACCTCAGCCACTGCTGTGACATCCTCCGACTCCTCACTGCTGAAGACTCAATCCTCAGACCTCTTGGAGAACAGCAGGGAACACCTAAGCTTGAGCAACAGCCCCCAAAATACCAAGGTCGCCCAAGGGCAGAGCCAGAGCCCCAGCAGGACCAAAGTCACCCAGAGCCAGAGCCAGAACCCCAGCAAGACAGAGTCCACCCAGGGCCAGAGCCGGAGGCCCAGCAAGACCAAAGCTACCCAGGGCCACAGCCAGAGGCCCAGCAAGACAGAGGCCATCCAGGACAAGAGCCAGTGCCTCAGCAAGATGGAGGTTGCCCAGGGCCAGAGCCAGAGCCCCAGCAGGACCAAAGCCACCCAGGGCCAGAGCCGGAGCCCCAGTAGGACCAAGGCTGCCCAGGGCCAGAGCCAGAGCCCCAGCAGGACCAAAGTCACCCAGAGCCAGAGCCAGAACCCCAGCAAGACAGAGTCCACCCAGGGCCAGAGCCGGAGCCCCAGTAGGACCAAGGCTGCCCAGGGCCAGAGCCAGAGGCCCAGCAGGATAAAGGCTGCCCAGGGCCAGGGTCGGAGCTCCAAAAGGACAAAGGCCACACAGGGCCAGAGCCAGAGTTCCAGCCAGACTGAAGCCACCCAGGGCCAGAGCCAGAGGCCCAGCCAGACTGAGGCCACCCGAAGCCCAAGACAAAAACCTAACAAGACCAAGGCCACTCAGGACCCAAGGCAGAGGCTTAGGAAGATCAAGGCTGCCCACGGCCGGAGTGGGGGACTGATCCGAAGTTCTAGCAGGACCAAGGATTTCTATGATCCAAGTTGGAGCCCCAGCAACACTGAGGCCACTCAGGACCAATGCCAAAGGTCCAGCAAGACCACGGCTGCCCAGAGCTGGAGCCAGAACACAAGCCCAGGTTATAGCAAGACCGAGGACACTTGGGGACTGAGCCCAACTCTCAGAAAACCCCAGACCAGAGGGCCTGAGCCAGAACCCCAGAAAAATCAAGACTGGTCCAGCAGTGACACTGATCCCTGAAGGGGCCATTCAGCCCCCTCACTTGTTGCTGGGTATGGGAGAGATTCTAACCCCCATATATACTCACTGGCACCCAGCAAAAGAGCCTCCTTCCAGAGCAATTAGATACCTCAGCCAACAGTCCTCTGGTCCCATGGCTAAGTTTATTGTGTTTGTTCTCTTACAAAATTAAAAACTTTAAAAACCAGGCCCAAGTGGCAGCTTGAGTCCCTCTGTTCATGAAGACTGAGAAGTCTCAGCCTGGCTTTACAGTACTGGGACACAGTGTGCAATGGAGGGTTGAGAGTACAGTGCCAGAGCACGAGGCCAAGAGTAACAGGCCGCAGAGAGAGAGAGCAGCCAGGAGCCACAGTCCCTGAGTTACAATTCACATCTTGAGAAGGCTTAGGCTGGAGGGTAAGGGCAAGGTCAAGTCTCACGGAAGTTCTGGGGTCACCAGTGGTTTCTCTAGGGAAGGAAGCAAAGGCTAAGAGGCCCTGAGACCAGTTAAGACGGCAGGGCCCTCAGTCCCATGGCCTAGCCAGCGTGCCTCCTCATCTTCACTTTGGGCTCCAGGTCTCATTCTCCAGGAGGCTCAGGAAAAGGGTCCCTACTGCAGAGGCCGCAGGGCTTTCCTGCACGGCCTGGCCCAGGAGAGGAGAGGCAAGGACACCATCTGGAGAGTCAGAGGAAGAAGGCAATTCTCGAGGCCACAGTCTTGCAGCCGTTGGAGGAAAAGAGCTGTTCTTCCTCGGGAAAGAAGGTGGTGCTGTCCAGCACAGCCTGGACGACCTCCTCCCTTGGCTCCAGGCCCAGCTGGGCCAGCTCGTTGAGCACGCAGTGCCGCACGTGGTGCCGCTGCAATGGTAGGAAGGGCACCAGGACGTCCAAGAGATGCTCTTCCACGATGCCTGAGCGCCAGAAGCCATCTGTAGGAAGGGGCAATGTGGGAAGGGTCTGTGGTGGGCTCAGGGAGGCCGCATGACAGCCAGGAGCGCCAAAGCCTGGCTGAAAAGTACCAGGTCGGTGGGCAACGCATCAGACCCTGGGAGAACCTGGCCCAGCCCGGTGGACCTGGGTGTGAAGCCTCGGCCTGTTGAAGTTACCCCAGGGGTGCAGGAAGGGGGCCTCCCGAGCCGAACTCACGATGCGGGTTGTCCAGCACAGCCTGGGAGATGACTGGCTCCAACTCCTGCAGGCGGATCTCCTCCCGGTCCCGGCGGCTGCGCCACGCCTCCAGGGCCACCTGGTTGATCTGCTCGCCACCAGTGTTGCTGAAACCATGGGGTACGCGGGCCTCGGCTCAGACCATGGGGGCCGGGATTTGGCCCTTGCTTCCCATGTGCCACCCAACACGACCTGAGTCTGGGCACCCAGCTCAGTACCAGCAGGAGCCAAACCCGCTAAAAACACACCAGAGGAACCACTTCCCCTCTCCAGAGCCCATGTCTAAAACCATGATGCCTGGAAATTCACCTATATGTGTCATGCACTTTAAAGTTTACAAAACACTTTTGGGTCCCTTAACTGACTTTCTCACCCCTGGCCTCTAGGAGGACAGTGGGGCATTAATCTTGGCCCTGCCGTGCAGAAGAGGAGATGGGAGTTCAGAGAGTGAACTGCCCAAGGAAAATTTGCCCAAGGAGTGATTTGCCCAAGGAAACACAGATAGAACTCTTGGAGGTGGGACTAGAATTCTAGTCCGATTTTTCCCAGGTCTGTGTCCTCCTGGCCACAAAAGAGGGAAAATTCCTTCCACAAAGAAACAGTGAGGATCCCAAAAACTGAGCCCAGATTGGGCTTTGAGAATGTCAAAATTTGAGCAACAGTATCACAGCCAGTGTGAGGGGCTTTGGGAAGTCCCAACTGGGCCCAGGCGGAAAGGTATTCTGGTGTGGGACCACCGACCAAGACTGGATAGCTAAGACCTTGGACAAATGTCCCCGCGCCATGCTGCTGCAAAGCTGGGCCCACCTGATGAAGATGAAGATGGCTTTGCGATAGTTGGTCCCAAACACAACCCAGGAGGAGCCCAGGAAGGGTAGCAGGACCTCCATCAGGCCTGGGGCCAGCTTGTCCATCTCGTCAAAGAGGAAGAGGGAGCGGCTGCAGGCTGTGAGGTTCCCCTGGACCCAGCTCTTAAGATCTTTCTGCAGGGGAGAGGCAGGAGTTTGAAGGCACCTAGAGATACTCCTCTCACCTGAGACTTCTTCCCAAGGCAAGAACTAATCCCTTTTTCAGGAAGGTATGGTCTCCCAGAGAGAACTAATCCCTTCATGGGGCTGTTGGCAAAACTGTGGCCCTAAGGGGTCAGAGACTTGTTCAAGCTCACACACAGCAAGTCAGCAAGCTCACAGAGACTCAAACCCAGGCCTCACATCCGCCGTTCAGGATTCCTTCTCTGACACCTCCTACTTTCCATAAAAGAGGAAGGTTCCCTTCTGCTCCCTGAACCTTTTCAATAATGTTGACACCTGAAACAGACCAGCCTGGCAAGAACCCTGCAATTGACAAGGAGAGTAGTAGTAAGAGGTACTATTTACTGAATGCTTACTCTGAGCCTCAAATTGGTACTATGCTTTCCAGAAAGATAACAATGCAGAATGGCACGTAATACCTGCGACCATACAATCCCATGTCCCTTGTCCATCTCAAGCTCTGTTCACAATGGGTCCTGGGGGCTGTGTGGCCTGAAGTGAGTGACCCCCACACCCTCCCAAGACTTGACTCATTCACTCCCTAGGGTCTGGCACCCCCACATGCAGGTGAATGGTGGTCCAGGATGCCACCAGCCTACCTTGTAACGCTCCATGTGGCTGTTGTGGGGGAAGTGGATGACGGGGGAAAAGTGGTGAACATGGGGGCTGCGGAGGCCACCCCGGAAGAGGTAGTGCGCCAGCAGGGAGCTGACATAGGACTTGCCAGTGCCTGTCCAGCCATGCAGGGAGAGGACCAGTGGCTTGGTAGGAGCTGGGTCCTGCACGAAGGCCTTCAGTGCCTTCACCACCAATGCCCTGGCCAAGTGCTGGCCAGCCAGGTGCTGGGCCAGGTCACACTCCAGACCTAGGGCCACAAGAAGGACAGTATCAGAGCTGAAGACACACGCTTGCCACAGAAGAGGGTGAAGAGGAATCATGTCTGGTACCTGGTCTAGGGATCCCTGTGTCTCAGACACTTTTGCAAACTGTCTTTGGAAAGGGAGTGAGTGGGGCCCTTGGGGACTCCGGCTGCAGCAGCCACCATCATACCTGACTTGGCTCTGCAGCGCTCCCACCGGCCCTGTGCACTGTGCTTAGCTCTAAGGGGCTGCTGCAAGCTGTCAACAGGTTTGGCCCTAAGACTCCTGCCCATTCCCAAGGCAGGCTTCTCCCCTGATGGCCAGTCCACTGTGGAGGCCCAGTGCTCCCCACAAGGCCCTGCTGTCAAATGCCTTTCTCCACCCTGGCAAGGCTCTGCCTGGACCCCAAACATGCTTTCCCAAACCCTCGCCCCCAACTCCAGTATTCCAGGTTCTCAGTCCCTCAGCGCGGGCCACGCGGAAGTCTGCGGGTCCCGCCCCTCGGTTCTACCCTCCAGGTCAAGCCCGGGGACAACCCAAAGTCTGAAGGCTCCCCGGTCCGCCGGCGCCTGTGCTCCGGGCTCCTACGGCTCCTCACCCTGAAAGTCGGGCTGGAAGTCACATTCGCAGAAGCTGCCGAAGTGGCAATGCAGCGAAGTCAGGTCCCAGGCGGCGGCCGCGGCTGAGACCAACCCCAGCAACCCGAGGAGCGAGCCCCAGGGCCGGCAGCCGCGAGACCCAGCCGCCATGCGGGTGAGGCGGGAGCCGAATGTGGGCCAACCGCCCCTCCCTAGGACCACAATTCCCGGCGTGCCTCTCCCGGCGGCAGCCATCTTCCGTAGACTACAACTCCCGGCTCCCCCCGGAAAGTCCCGAACCAACGTCTCGTAGCAGGACTAGAAAGTAGCCTCTAGGGGGAGCCCGCGAACCGTCCCAATCCAGCGGCGGACCGCGTTTCCATGGCGACGGTAACTAGGAGACCATAATAGCGCCGAAAGAATAATAAAAGATTATGACCACAAAGGGTGACGTAACAATTGTAGCAAAAACTTGTGCGGCACCTTAAACCTTGCAAAGCGCCTTTTCCATGCTCTTTTTTCCCATGCTCTTTTTTTTATATGACAAAAGAGCGCTCAGTAATAGAGCTTTTCATGAGCACCTACTAGGTGCCATTAGTGTCAGTGCCTTGTATGTCTTACGATAACAGTGACTGCCATACAGAGATACGGTGAAATTTCAATGAGGTACAGGCACAAAAAGTGTTTTGACTCGGAAAGTAATCAATAAATGATTATTGGCAATCCATTATGTATGAAACATGGCAGTTCCCTACCTAGCAACTACTCTGACCTAAGTGCTTTACCATCAATACTAAGGAATCGATTTTGTTATTGTCCTTATTTTATTGAGGAGGAAACTGGGATCCAAGGGATTAAGCCTCTGTCCAAGGCTAGTAAATAATAGAACTGAACCCAAGTCAAGCTGCTGTCAGAGATCTGATGCACTATGTTATCCAGCCTCTCTTGGTCAAAGGATTTAGAAGGCAAAGAATCTGAGGCGTCTCATATTCAGTGAACAGGCTCCCCAGGCCTCCAGCCTGGACAGGAATCGTGTTGATCCACATTGCCTACCTCCCCTACCCATCAAGACAACTGCTTTCATGACCCTTCTTAGAGATTCCCTGATCCACCCACCCTACACACACACACACACACACACACACACACACACACACACGAAGCTTTCTGGGGCCTGAAAAGAAATAAGTAGGTCCTTCTGTTGAGAAAAGGAAAGTACTCCAGGTCAGGACACCCAGGTTCCAGCCTTCCTCATTCTGCCACTGCGACCCCCCAGGAGAGTCCCTTCTCCCTCCAGTTCTATTTTCCATGGGAGAGTTGGAATCCTAAATTTCAACAAGCCCTTCCACTCCAAACATCTGGAGTGCTTTGTTGTGCATTTGCGGGAACCTTTGCTGGGATTTCCAAAGCAGGAAACAGGGTGGGATTGGGCTGGCCAGGATTTCTCCCCTTGGTTGGAATTAGTAGGTTCTTTCCCCCACTAGTCTGTGAGCTCCTCCAGGACTGGGATCAAGTTTTAGTATTGGCTGTAACTCTGGTTTGTGGTAGAATCTGGAATGTCCCAGGTGCTAAATAAGTATTTACTGTTGAATTTTTCCACCTTTCATCTGAGAGAAAAGACACTTCCTTCCACCAGGGCCCCCTGAGAGACAGAAGAAAGAGTCATAAAAGTTTATTATATGAAAGAAAGGACATGGCTTCTGTACATCTATTTACAGAACAGATAGATTTACAACCGGGTGGAGGCCTTGGTGTCCGTTGCAGGCAAATGCCCAGAGAAGAGTGGGGAGGCTTGAGGACCCTCCCATGGCTCAAACACAGGGCACCTCAGCAGGAAGGGGAGGAGCAGAAGCTGGAGGGAGGAACAGGGTTCCGGTTCTTCCTGAAAGGATACTTGGTGGGCACGCAGCGGGTGGGATGGAGCCCTGGGGTCCTGCAGGACCCTGGAGGGGCAAGGGAGATCCTGGTTTGGGCCCAGAACATTCTTGGGCTGATCACAGTGTCTCTGGGGTGCTCTGGGGAGAGGTCTGTGCCCCTCTGTCCCTGTTGCTGCCTGCAGCTGCAGAGGGGAGGGGTGCGCGGGGGTCACAGCTCACTGGAGCGGACGGCAGGTTCCAGTTTGTGGGACAGGGCAGTGAGGACCTTGTCGAACTTCTCGTAGCGCCGGGCCTGGTTGCTGCTGGCACCCTGGCTGCCCCAGAGGAGGCGCATCTGGAACTCAGTGCTGAACACCTCCAAGAGCTCTGGTCGGGCCTGGAACCCTGCGAGGCAGCAGAGCACAGGGGTCAGGGGACGACCATCCAGCAGGGAAGGCTGGGGGTCCTGCCCAAAGCCAACACATCCCACAGGGCCCTCTTCCTAGGGGCCTTCCCCCACCCCCCAGCTCCATCAGGAATCCAACAAGGTTTGTCAATGGACAGGACCATGTCTGCAACATATAATATTTAAATTATTGAAGATAAAATATGAATGTCAATTTGGAGGGATTTTTCTTTTCTTTTCTGTATTTTTTCTGTAAGTTCCAAACTTCTTGCTAAGAAATGTACACATTTTGCAAATAAGTTTTGTTAGTTAAGAAAAAAGATGTTTTGTTTGCTCTGAAAAAGAAAGAGGCAGGAAACACAAACACTAGGATGTTGTCACCATGTGCCTCTGGGTGACTGGGGGGGATTTTGTTTTTTCTTTTTGCTCAGCTGTAATTTCCAGTTTGCCTACAGTGAAACTTTATGACTTAAATAATGCCTAAAGCAGTAAAAGCTGGATTACTTGAGGCCACTTCCTCTCTGCTCTTTTCACTCTCCCTTTCCCCTAGACTGGGAGCTCCTTGAAGGCAGGGTAGGTGTGTCTCAGCCCCAGGCCAAGGGCTCAGCCCCAGGCAAACAAACTTGTAGAATAATCCCTTAGGATGTCCACTTCACAGAGAGAAAACAGAGGCTCAAAGAAAGATCCACAGCTAGGGTGCTCTCTGAATCACCTCCGTGTCCCTGCACCCCCACCGGGGCCTTCCACTCACAGCTGAACTGGTAAGCGAGTGAAAAACAGGGAAAAGGAAAAGAAGCAGGGAGTGGCGCCAGAGGAGGAAATGGAGAAACGTTAAGGGGGTTTTGGCGGAAAGGAGAGAACAAGTCCGGTGGAGGGAGGCCCAGCAGCATCAACAGTGACTGTCTCCACCCCCAGATGTGACCTGTGACTCACCCTGCAGCTTGACCTCCGCGTTGGTGTGATACAGGCCTCCGTGGTGGGCCACGGTGCGGGCAGCCTCCAGGTGGGCCAGCACTACCTCCACGCCGTGCTCTGTGCTGCCCCAAGGCTCAGGGCCCTCTGCTGGGGCCGAGTCACACTCAAGAAGAGTGATAAGCGGCAGCACATGCGGAAACGTAGTATTGCTCAGCGGCGGGCCTTCTGTGGTAGGGGGGGAGGCAGGCGCTTAGAGGCCTTGGAGTCCCCACCATCCCCAGGGGCGCTCCAGGCAGAGAGGTGGAGCAGGGGGTGGGTCTGCCTGAGGTCCCTGGCTGAGCACCCCCAGGGCTCCCGACTCCCAAGACTAGCAACCCTCCTTTTGGAATCCTCCAGCTGAAACCACTGCAGCCTTGGCACCACCCTGAGGGCTGAGCCTCGTCCTGGCCACCCTGCAGACGGTAGCCAGATACAGAAAGTGAGCTCAAGATTAGCCTATGCAGCGCTCAGTTTCTGGTGGGTCCTCATCTACACTGGGAGAGTCTTTGCCGGCCCAGAGAGAGGCTGGAGCCTGCCCAACGTCACACAGCAAGGTGGGAGAGGTACCTTTGCCCTCGTTGAGGCTCTTGAGAAATGGCTTGAGCTTTTTCTCGTAGAGGATGGCACCTTCTGTGTGTCGCTGCCGAAGGGTCACCCATGTCTGCTCCAGCCGGGCAATCTGGGGAGAGGAGACTGTGAACACCCAGCCAGGGAAGGGGCCCGCATTGGCCACAGGCCACCCTCCTGAGTGGACACACCCAGATGTGGGATAATAGTTATGACCGTGGTCACCTTTCATGTACCTGGGACAGTGCTGGCTGCTCTTCATGGTCCTCGTGAGGCCTTGCAACAGCTCATTTTACAGAGGAGGGAACTAAGGCTCAGCTAGGGGAATGACTTGCCCAAGGTCATCCCAAAATTAGGTAGCAGAGCTGGGAGTCGACCCACAGCTTCTGGGACCCTGTTGTTACTACTGACTAGGCACAGGAGAGCAAGCGTAGAGTGTGGACAAGATTCAGGCTGTGAAACCAATCTGCTTTGAATCCTGACCTTTTCAGTCTGACTGTGTGACCTCAGGCCAAGTACTGCTGTACATCAGTTTCTCCATAAATAAAATGGGACAATAAAGGCACTTATTTCCCAAGACTGTTCTGACGAATCAGTACTTACAAAGTACTTAATGTAGCACCTAGCATATATCAAGTGCCCGCTGAATTATAGCCATTTTATATTTATTCTTGAAACTCACATAATGCTCCTCACTCATTTTGCAGGTGGGTAAACTGAGACCCAAAGAAGGGGCAAGACTTGGTCTTGGAGCAGGTCACTTCAGAGAACCCAGCTACCCTTTCACCGATGCTGCCAAAAAGTCCCCGATTCGAACGTTTCCCGGGGCTCCTCCAGACAACGACTTCCTGAAGCTCAGCTCGAGATGCGCCCTTCCGTACCTGAGCCATATCGAGGGCGCCCATGACCGCAGCGAAGCTGAACATGTTGCCCATGGTCCCTCGAAGTTCAGCCGCCAGCTGGATGGTCTTGTGCAGAAGCACTGCCCGCTCCTCCGCCGAGCCCGTGCAGCCCAGGATGTCCACGGCCAGCATGATGGACATGGTGTGGAACCTGTCTCAGCGGCCAGGTCAGAGGGGAGGGGTCCTGTCACTAGTTGCGTTTGGCGCGGGAGGGGCAGAGGGCCAAGCCCAAAGTGACAGGTGGGAAAGGGTCAATGAGATTAGGGGGCGCGGCCAAAGTGAGAGAAAGCCAGGCTAAGGGCTTCTGATTGGTCGCTGTAACTCGGGGGCGGAGCCCGAGACTTCTGAGCGCGGGGCGGAGGGGCTTGTGATCGATCAATGGAATTCACGCGGCAGAACAGGTTTAAGAAAGAGTAGCCAGAGCTGATGGGCGGGGCTAAGGCTCGCGCAGTGTGATTGGTCAAGAGGGTGCAAAAGATGAATTCGGAGACAGGACTCAGGCTTTGGGGAAACTGGGATTGCTTGGAGCCGGACACCGAGCAGTTGCGATTCGTCAATGGATAGGAGGCTTAGCCCGAACCCCATGGGAGCCGGGCCGAGACACTCTGATTGGCCAGCCTGTCACAGCAAAAGGGCAGCAAGGTAGCCCGGGGGATTCCCCGCGAGTCCCCGGGTGCAGGTGCTTGCCTTACCTTTCCAGCAGGTCTAGTCGTAGCTGCCGGCCATGGGGGAGGGTGAGCAGCTCCATGCCCCAGCGGACTCCCATTAGGGTCTGCATCTCCTTGGTAACGCCCAGTATCCTAGCAACCTGCAAGGACGCCCAGAGGGCTGATTAATTTCCTGTCGCGGCTGGCCCAAGCCATCTGGGAGTCAGAGAGCTTTCTCTAGGAGGGCAGCCTGGCTGGGATAACGAGTTTGAATTCCAGCTCTCACCCTCTGCCATGGAGCAAATGAACATTTCCCCCTCATTTCCGTGGAATGAGGGATAAGTGAAAAAATGCTCAGAGCTGTTTGATATGTGCCAAAGGTGACCAGGACACCTTTATTCCAGAAGGCAAACCTGAGGCCCAGGGAGGGAAAAGGACTTGTCGTCCAAGGTCACACACTGGGCCAGAACTAATCCCATCGCGCCTAGCACTCTCCATAGGACAATATCTCTGCGTTCCTTACTTGCTTCCTGAGCTGAGAGACCAGTGCAGGCCCCCACATAAAGTAATCAGTGCCCCCCTCCAAACTTCAGAGGGAGAAATTGAGGTGCAGAGAGAGTCTGGGTCCTTAGATAGTCAAGATTCATTCAAAGGCCAGGCATGGACAGTTTGAGTCTAGGTTCTGAGTTTTGCTTATTTTGTCCATGGGGGGTGGGGGCGGTGGGGGCGGGTGGTTTTGGTTTTTTACATTCTCTGGAACAGCCAGGCTGACTCTCACCAGGCTGAAAAAGTACCCCAGGGAGCTCTGGCTTTCAGCGCTGCCCAGTTCCAGTACCAAACTGGAGGAAGCAAGAATATCTTGTGGTGGTGGTGATGTTGCTGTTTTTAGGAGACAATGGAGGCCCAGAGAGGTAAAGTGATCAGCCCAGAGTCATACAGCAAGTAAGGGACAGCTACGAAGCCAGAAGCCAGGCCTACTCACTAAAGTTTGGGCATTTAGCAGCCAACTCTTCACCACCTGGACCCCTGTTCCAAAGCTGCAGGACAGAGGTGCTCTCCCTGCCCCAGTGCTCACCCAGCACCTACCAGGCAGTCAACCTTGGTGACGTGCCGGGCCAGCGTCCGGGCATCCACCTCTGCTAGCAGCTCCTTGACCTTGCGCAGGAGGCCCACCTCCAGTGGCCGGTTATCCTTGGGGATCAATAGTGACTGGAAGGTGGCGGGGTTGAAGGAAGAGGTGGCTTCCACAACAGGGGCTATGAAGGCCCTGCCCCAGTCCCCTTCGGGTGCCCCATTCTCTGACAGTTCCTTTAGCCTCTCCCCATAGCTCCTGGCCTGCCGGCTGGAGGCCTCAGCTGTTGCCCACTCTCGACTGCCACGGACAGGAGGCTGCAGCTGGCAGTAATGGCCAGAGTCCGGGTCACTGTAGCTGCTGAGCGACGGGGATGGGGAGGCCTTGGAGAGAGTGTGGGAGGGGCTGGCATAAGGGCCCTTGTCTGACTCCCCAGGGGGCTTCGGGGCACTTCCGGGACACAGCTGGGGTTCACTGGAGCGGCGGGTGACAGGGGAGGCAGGCAGCACTGTGGCTGATGGAGCTGCAGGGATGGCGTGGACACGGGTCACTGCAGGGAGAGAAAGGGCAAAGACTAGTTACCAGTGAAGTTCTCCCTCCCTCTCCCCAAAGGACGGGCCCCACCCACCCTATAGAGGTGACGTTCCCACCTCCCTGCACTCAGGCCAGGCCCAGCAGCCTTGGGTAAAAGGACCAGCCTGAAGGATACTCTCAAATGGCCTGGACCCCAGGAGTTTGCTCCCTCCTCCCCTAAGGCTGCTGCAGCCTTGGGGAACCACTGGACTACTTAGAGGATCTTGCCGTGATTCAGGGATGCTAATAAGCACTTGCTGGAGTTCATTGTGTGGAATTATTTCTCGATGAATTAGCAATGATTTATTGAGTGCACATGTGCCAAGAGCTGGCAACACGCTGGCCATACACTGGTCACCAGCAGTCAAACCATCATCCAAAATGAGAGGTGATGTATATTGAACTCTTCCTGCCCGCGAGGTCCTTCTCCATACCTTAGCCCATTTAACCCTGCCATCCTGGGAAGTAAGTCCTTCCATGATCCTCATTCTACAAGGAGAAAACTGAGGCTCAGAGAGGTCACCTGCCCTGCCTCAAGTCACTACCCAGCACATGGGAGAGCTGGGCTTTAAATCCTCAGTCCTCTGAGGATTGAGGACCTCACTCTGCCGTGTTGCTCAGAAAATGTCCACTAAATCATTTGGGACAAGGATTGGTAACTTTTACACTCGGGGGAGTTGGTTCGAAAGCAAGTTTGCAGGTATGACCAGTTAGTGAGCCTGTGTTTAGGGAAGAACGTGTGACAACCCATGGAGACAACGTAGTTGTCTGTAGTTCTGCCTGTAGTTGTCTGTAGTCTGTCTGTAGTCGGTAGTTCTGCTGACTGGTTTTTCGGGTAAATTCTTGCAGGCATCACTCTCAGTAAAGAGGTAGAAACACACATAAGCACACATGGTAACAGAAGTCGTCATGGACAGACAGAGCGTGGTGCACACACAAGGCCACTCCCATGGGATTCCCCCCACCAGCCCCTCCCCCTCCACTGGCCATACCAGTACTGTAGGCAGGGGAGCTGGGACTCTCGGAGATGGGTGACATGGGCGAGTGCAGGTCCGGGATCTGGTCCATGCTGAGGGCACAGTTGCGGATAGATTCCCGGGGGTGGGGCAATGAGGTGCTGTGGAGCAGATACCTTCATGAGCAAAGAGCCCAGAGAGCGGGGTCCTCAGCTGGCCTTGGGATCCCCACCTCTGCCTCCATCCTAGGTTGACTGAACTTCAGAGGCAGAAAAGGCTTGGAGAGTGTAGTACTAATTGACAAGTATAAGACTGAAGCCCAGAGTGGAGAGTGTTTGTATAGTCCACTACCCACACAACTGCTCTCTTCCATGAGAACCTTGCCTCCAACTCAGGAGAACTACCTGGGAAGCAGGCCTAGTAGAAAGGATGGGGAGCTGGAGGGAACCGGGCCCACAAGGCTGGCAACTCCTCACTGCTCCTACACTATGCTCAGAATGCCAGATGCTGGCACCATTACAGGCACTGATTCTAAATCACAGGCAAAGTACCCACGGAGAATCCAACCAGCAATTCCTTGGCCGTTCGCACCCAGCCCAGGCCTAGGGAGATGGGCCCTATCCAAGTGCTGGCAGCACAGGAGGGCAGGTCTCTTTGCAAACAATAAGGGAGGCCGTAGAAATGAGGGAGTTGCAGACCTGGGTTTGAATCTCAGTCCTCCCGCTCTTCAGCAAGTGGCTTCCCCTCTCGCACCTGTTCTCTGGTCTGTAAAGTGGGGGTGTGCACAGGAGCTCCCTCCCAGGAGGACATAGGGATTGATGAACTTGGGCGCAGACAGCCCTCCGCACAGGGCCGGGGGGCACACTAGGACCTCAGGAATGGGTCCCTGCTGTGGCTTTTTACAGCCTCATCTCACCCAGCCCCAGAGGCACCTGGGCCTCATTAAAGTATTGCTGGGAACGTCCCATCCCCCGTGCAGTGGTTTGCAGCTTGCGAAGCCCTTTGCTCTGATGCATGCCTTGGCCTAGCTAGGTGCGGGAGGGCGGAGGCAGCAGCTGCAGGGAAAGAGCAACCCTCAGGGGGTTCCCCTAGGCTGGGGGTCTATCTGCACAAGGGCCCTTTATCGGTAGGAACATGGTCATGAGAGGAGAGCGGCAGGGCCCAGGCGGCTCAGGTGAGGCTGTCACCTGGGCCTGGCTGCCGACAAACCCGGCACTCAGCCCTCCTCTGCCTCCTCCTCTTCCTCGAAACACTCCAGGACAGTCATCTGCCCAGTTCACAGTGGCCTGGCCTCCCGCCCCTCACCAGCACTCTGCAGACAGATACTCCCACTTGCCAAAGGGGGAGACCGAGGCCCAGCGTGGGGCCCCTTCTTACCTGGTGGGGCAGCCATCACTGCGGGTAACCTTGTCGGCGGTGAGCCCATCGGTCATGGTGACGCTGCGCCGCTTCATGTGGCTGCCTTTGGGGCCCGAGGGGCTGGCGGGGCTGGCCGCCTTGCTGCTGCCCTGGCCAAGGCCATAACAGGCCTCCAGGTAGCGCAGCGGGAAGGTGCGGTTCACAGGGCAGTAGATGATGGCACCGCTCTGCTCCGACACGGCCTTGCGGCTGCCCACATGGTACCGCACGAGGGCGGGCACATGGTCGAAGCTCTCCTGCTCGAACAGGTACTGGATGTGGGTGTAGCTCTCCCCGGCCTTCACCACCACCTTGTTGATCTTGAAGTGCAGGGCCTGGTTGCGCCAGCGGCACGTGAGCACATAGTCACCCAGGCTGGTGAGAGAGTCCCGGATGAGGAAGTCACCGTTGCGCTGCACCAGGGTCTCTGATACCTGCGGGAGGTAGTGATCAGTCTGGAGCAGGGCCAGGGCAGGGGAGGGTCCGACCTGGGATCTGGGGGACACAGGGAACAGAGATATCTAAAGCTTAGGAAGGGGGATGCAGTGACCCAGATTCGGAGGGGCAACTCAGCCACAGGCCCTGGGTCTGGTGCACGGAGCCTTGGGAATGGGAGGACATGACACCCTGGAATGTAAGGCACAGGGACTACAGAGTCTGGGGGGCTGGGGGTCACCATGACCTGAAACTCAGTTCTCAGGGCTCGTGTTAGACAGGGTGAATTCCCAATCCTCATTCCTCCAAGCACCCAGGGTTCTCCCAGTTCTCTGGGCCTTTGTGCCCTCAAGCTGTCCTCTCTGCCTGGACATCCTTCTCACCCTGCCCACTTGGTGAAGTCCTGTCCATCTCTCACTGGCCTCTGTCCTCAGTGCTCCCTCCTGAGGGCCAGCCTACATTCTCTGCTGGACGCTCCATTCCTGCATTTCTTCCACTGGGCTCTGACTGGACCACCAGCCCTTGGAGGGGGGCACCACCCATTTTCTCTCCACATTCTTGGTGCCCAGCACAGGGCCTGGCAGAGTCAATGCTTGACAAAGACCCGTAGCATGAATGAAAGAGGGAACAGGTGACTATCAGCCCATCTGGGCCTCAGCACAGAAACTCAACTTTGCCAAAACTGAGAATCCTAGGCCCTGACACTCACTAACCAAACAAACAAGAGGCTAATGTACAGACCCATGGGAAAAAAACAGTTAAAAAATAATAGTAATAATATCAGCCATAACAACACTAAAAATAACATTGAGCCCCCGCATGTCAGACCTCAGGGTAACACTTTATGGGCATTGTTTTATTTATTCTCATGATAACCCTTTAAGGCAGGTACTGTCATTACCGTCCATGTCATAGAAGAAACAGAGGCTCAGAGAGGTGAAGTGACTTGGGCAAGGTCACACAGTTAGTAAATGAGTTCAACCTCACTGCAGTCTACTCGGACTGAATCCACCAAGCAGTGAGTCACAGCCTCTCTGGGCAGAGCTGGCCGAGGTGGTGGGTGACCTCTGGGGCTGAGGTCCCACCCAGGGACCACTCACCTCACGGGGGATGCGGCCATGATACCAGGCATGACTGCGGAGATCTGTGCTGCTGAGTTTGAGTTCCTCCTCTAACTCCTTGTGTAGCTTCTCAGGGGAGGAGTCCAAGATGTACTTCTCCTTGGAGAACTGGGCAGGAGACAGCAGAGAGTTGGCATCTGGTCTGAAGCCCTCTTCCTTATTCTCTCCCAACCCCTCCCTACTCCAGGTGAGCTGCTTCCATCCCAGGACCCTGGGAAAACTTAGGCACCAGAAAGGTCCTCAGCTGTTTGAGTCCCCAGCCCAGCAGGAGTAAGGAAATCTCAGTTAGCCCTACTGTGTTCCAGGCTCTGTGCTACGTGCTAGGAGTAAATGAGACAATAAACAAACCAGGCCCTGTCCTCAAGAAAGCTCATAGTCTAGGCAGGGGAAGGAAACTAGACAGGAACATTGCAGCAGAATAAGGTCAGCACCACGCTACTGGACAGCGGCAAAGAGCCCCGTGACTTTTAGAAGATAAAGTATAGGGAAGAAGGACTGGTCCAGGAAGCCTTCCTGGAGGGAATGGTGACAACGAAACACTCACTCTGCACCAAAAACATCAAACTGATCTTGCATGTGGGAGAGGCAGGATTTCTACAGGTGGATCTGGGAGGTAAGGCAGCAGGTACCCAGGCAAAGGCAAGGACAGAAACATAGGGCTGGGCGGATGAGGACACATTCTGGGATGCAAAATTATACATTGGAAGGGTGGAGGAGGCAGCTATAAACAGAGAAGCAGAGGCCCCCACACAGACGTTTCTGCTGTCCTTTATAATTCCCAAGGCCCTTTCCTCCTTGCCATCTTAAGCAATCCTGGCCAGATGGCAAAACTGTGGCTAAGCAGGGAAGCCAAAGATCACTCAATGGAGATAATGCCCAGGACTTCTACCTGCTGAAGGGGGAGATGCCTGGTTTCCTGGCTACCGTGGCCCAGGGTTGGATACATAAGAGCAGAAGGAAGAGAGCTCCTGTTGCCAGGTGCAGCCCTACCATGAAGCCCAGGCCAACCCTGGCTGTGCCCTGTTGAGTTCTCTGGGCCTCAGTTTTCTCCTCTATAAAATGGGTATTATGACAGAAACCTGTCTCCTTGGGTTGCAAGGATGAAAGGAGACAATACTCCAGAGTACTGTGACTAGCCCACAGATGTCCTCGTCACTGTGAGCACATGTGACATTGCTTCCTCTCCCATTCCCCAACTCGGGGCCCCAAAGATAGCTGTTCTAGGACAGGTAGATCTGGCCCCAAACTGGCCAGACAGCAAGACAGAAGAAAGGGGGCTCTAGAGGGCCTGGCCTCAGTCCAAGTGACAGTCTCTTTCCAGGACCCCCTACTCACCAGGGTCCAAGGGTCCTCCAATCCACTCCCTGCATTTTCACACCTTCCAAAGATCTCTGAGCCTAACTCTGCAGCTCCATTCTCCACCCCTCTGCTCTTACACTGCCTCAGTTTACCAGAATCCACACTGCTCCCAAGATACCCTAACTCCCAGTTTCAGTGATATCTAGAGTCTCTGACTTCACTGTTTCAACAAGATTTTAAAAGATTTTTTAATCTTTTAAAAAAGTGAAAAGATTTTCACTGTTTTAAAAGATTAAACTCCCACTCTGAGACAGGTCCTGTGTCAGTGCTAAGGCCACAAGGTCATCAGGACAGATGACCTCTGAGAGAGTCACACAGACACTGACAACAAACTCCAGTTTTCTGAGTGACCAGGAATGCACAGAGGGCTCTGGGAGCAGCTAAGAGTGTCCCTCCTCATCTAGTCAGGGAGTTGAGTCCCTGAAGAGGGGATATTTCCATGGAGGCCTGCAGAAGGACTGCATGAGCCCAGCAAAAGCATCAGGGCAGGGAAAGACAAGCAAACAGGTGGACAGGTTAGAGTTTCTGGGAAGACAGTGGCAGAGTCAGGGCCCTGCAGGCAGAGTCAAGGTCCTGGGGCAGGGGGAAGCTTCAAAAGGGCAGAGATGATGGGGATGGGGTGGATCAGGGCTGTCAGGCTACTATGGGGAGCTGGGGTTTACCCAGAGGCCACAGCAGAGCCACAAAGCATTTTTCAAGATACAGTCTGGTGTGTGGAGAGTGGCTTCGTGCTTTCAGGCACTGGCCAGAAGGGTGGGGCACAGGGGTGGGGACCAGGGGAAAGAGTGTTTAAGTAGCCATTGATCAGGACAGGGAAGAGGGTGGAGGGGTCAGAGAGGATTTCAGAGATCCTGGGAGGACAATGAGACAGCTCTCCAAGGTGAGCAAAGCTGGAGCAGGAGGAGCTTGGTGATAGACCCATCAAAACTGGGGCTTTGAGGAGCCCATAGGGCTCTGGGGACAGATGGTGGGGGTCGACGATGACACAAGTGCTCAGGAAAAGACAGGTCCTGGGATGGGGATTCCGTCCACTCTCTACCCAGGGTAGAAACTGATACTCCCAAAGGGTAGGAAGGCTGAGGGCTGAACTGAATTTGGGGAGGTCCTCAGGTACCTACACTTCTGTATGGAGTTCTCTATTCTTTGGGGTCCTTGGCCTCCCTCCCTACACCACGCCACACCCTGGGGAGGGAAGACTGGGAGTCACAAGGCAGAAAACACCAGTACTTCAGACTTCTGGGGTTCTTCTCTTTCACAAAAAGCATGTAACTGAGAACTCACCCCAGTTCCACAGCGGGAGTGAGATGGACATGGGGAAAAGAAGGGGAGTGGGCTGTGAGGTAAAGAACCTGGCCAAAAGACGCTGCCTACCACTGTGTGACCTTGAGCTAGTCATTTTTCCTCTCTGAGCCTGGGTAGCATCTGTAAACGGGCGGGGGTGGGGGGGGTGGGGAGACTGGTCTCCACTTTTCCATCCATAATCAATGGTCCCAGGGAGAATCTGGGGGAACCAACTTGGTGCTCCCACACACCCGAGAGTGGGGAACCCTAGGGTCCTGTGCCCTCCTCCTCACTCTCGACCAGGGGGTCCCCAGCTCCCAAGACTGGTGGGGGGGGATGGTGAGAGTTGCGGGCTGGGGCGCGAATGCAGCATCCTTGCGCTCGGCGCACCGCTATTGGCCAGAGATGATCTCACCGCCTCCCCGCCTGCGCGCGCCTGATTGGCCGGTGCGGGGATGCTGCGCTCCGCTGCCGGCGGGGCCGTCATTCAGGCGGGCTCCGAGCGTGTGTATGTGAGCCCCGGGGAGTGCAGGGGTGACGCGGCCGGCGTCCCCCAGGGGGCTCCGGAGGGAAAAGCGCAGAGACCTCCGGTCAGGGTCTTAACCCCTAACCCCCAGCCCGCGCCCAGCAAGCCCCCTCCAGCTTCCTACGGTCTGGCAACCCCAAGCAAGGCCATCCCCAGATGATGCTCCGCAGAGGCGGGGTCCGGGTCCGCCCCTCCACCCCCTTCCGTTTAACCCCTTCACCGCCGCGGCGCGGTCCCGCACTGCCCGGCCGCTTGGGCTGGGAGCCCCGCTCCCTGAGCCTGCCCCAGCCCACCTAGAGGGCGGGAGAGTGGCGGGCGCTCTGGCCCTAGCCCCGGCACCCGCAGCACCCCTTCAGCTTCCCTCCCCTCACTCAGCCTTCGGACCCCAGCCCAGCGCTCCCGGTACAATGGGGAGCCAGGCTGCCCGGGTCACCGCAGGGGCCGGAGCGCTCGCCTGAGTACCGGCAGGACGCCGGGGACCGCAGCTCCCGGGACCCAGTGCCCCAGCTCAGCTCCGCCTGCGGAGGAGGCAGGACCCGCGAGTCCCGGGAGCTGCAGCCGGGACCCTCACCCTGCGGAGCGGCGGGGCGCCCAGAGGTGAGGCTGGGGCGACCCCGCCCCCTCCTGCAGCCCCTGCCCCTGCCCCGCCAGACCCTGCGAGGCGCCACCGGGCTGCGGCTCCCGGCCCCCGGGCCCCGGGCGGAGCGGCCGGGGTCTCAGCCCAGAGCGCCTGGCGGGAGCCAAGCCGCCCCCTCACCTGCACCTGCACGAAGGAGCCGCGGTAGAAGCAGCAGGCTGCGGCCGAAAGGGCACTCCACAGGCTGCACCGCTCGGTCATGGTGGGGCCGGGCGTCCGGGGCCGCGCCGGTGCGGGGGGCGGCGGCCGGCGGGGCAGGGGCGCGGGGAGCGACCGGGCTGGGCACCGGCTGCGCGTGCCTCTCGGCAGCGCGATTACCTCATCGCCTTGGCGGGGGAGGAGCGGGGAGGCGGGGCGGGGAGACCCCACCCTCCCGCCGGTCAGGGGAGGGGAGGGGGCCATTGTTCCTCCCTCCTCCCGCCCTTCGCTCCCCGCCCCTCGCCCCCCGCGCTTCAGCCCCGAAGGGCTGCCTGGAGCCTGGGGACGCGGGGCAGAAGACCTGCCTAGGGGGGCCATCACGGGGGGTGGGGGGGACAAGGGGGCAGCGGGATGAGTTGGGGATGTCTGGGCCCGGGAGTGGGGGGGTTCCTGGCTCCCCCAACTCACCGTACCTACCTTCACTAACCCGGAGCCGGCAAAGACTTTGAATTAAATCATATCTAAAGCTGGAGAAATCCCTGTATGCCTTTGACCAAATCCTTTGTGGCCTCTGGAAATCTCCCAGAGCCCAGGATTTCTCACCTCTGAATGGGAATCAGGGACTCGGGCAGAGAACCGCGGGATGCTGAGCTGACAGACTCTGGGGGTGTGGAGAGCCAGTAGATGCTTAGGGCACCAACCTGGGTTCAGCTAGCATGGGGGGGGGGCACCTCCACCCCAGCAGCCCCTTCTCTTGGAGGCGGGATTCACTCATCTGGAAAACATACCTGTGCTGAGCTCACAGAGCTCTTCTGAGCCTTGCCTGAATCTGATGCCTGTTAAGTTGTCATGCATAAAGTAAATGCTCAATAAACGCGTGCTATTATTGCCAAGCTTATTGTCTTACAATCTGGACTTTTGTCCTAGGAATAAGGCGGGGTGGGGGGGTGGTCATCACTGACTCTGCACCAGTCAGGCCAAGGGTACAAATCCTTTTGACAGGCTGTGTGACCTTAGGGAGGTAAGTCCACCTCTCTGGGCCTCAGCTGTTCAGTTGTTTTCTACAAATACACCTGAAGCTCTGAGCATGGAGCGTGGAATTTTATGGCCTTGGAACTTCAGAACCCTTGACTTGGAATCGAACTGATCACATTGTGGTCTGAGAAACCTGGAGTTCGGAAAGCTAGTACCTCAGGGCAGGAATGGATGGTTGGTAACTATTGATTCTACCACCGTCTGAGGCTTGAAGCTAAAACTAATGTTCTTTTGACTTCGTCCTTTAATTAGTTCCAGTGAACAGGTATTATTTCCTTCATAGTATTTTAAAGTACATGTTCAGACCCATAAACTAAAGGAAAAATGCAAGTTACTAATCCTCATAAGGATCTTACTACCATCAGTGATGGAGACCTCACTACCTTGCCAGGGATCTGAAAACTGTGTGTCCCCTGTGTCCTACCCACTGGCCTTGGTCCTGGTTCTCCCTGAGGCCTCCATCACCCTATGGTGTAAGGGCTCCGATGAAGAGCCAGGGCCCAGATTCCAGGAGCAGCTCCAGCTCAACTTATCACTACCCTGGGTTACACTTCCTGGGCTCACCCAGCTTGCTTTCTGACCTTGCCCACACCCTTCCCTCTGCTTGGACCACTCTCCTGTCTATCTCTGCTTATCTTTGCCTCTCTTCAGCTTTTCCTTTGGGAACAGGATGTTGGTGAACATTCCTGGTCAAGTGCAATGGCTTGGTTTCAATGCCTCCTCCTCCAGAAAGCCTTCCTTGATCTCCCCCTCCCCATCTCCCAAACTGAAAGTTATCCCCTACCTGCTGAGCTCCAGTGGCTTCCTATCTGAGGCTTCTGATGACAGTGAGGGGCAGATATCTGAGCACTTCCCATGCTGCCCCATGGCCCATCACTTACATGGGGCTTCATAGGCAGCATCTCAGGTAATGGAATGTCTCCAGGGTCAGCAGCCAGGCCAGCCAGCTCTAGTCCAGGTCCAGCAACCCTACTTATGGGCATGGACTCATTGAACCGACAGCAACCCTAGTTGGGATCAAATAAAATTGGATTGCAATCTCAGTTCTGCCCCGTAGTTGCTGTGTGGCTGTGGGCAACTCACTGTGCATCTCTGAGCCCCAAGTTCCCCATGTGTACATGGGTACAGGAAGGCCTTCCCTGCCCAGTGATGAGGGAGGAAGTCAAAGACCTCATTCATGTACAGAGCTCAGCGCTAGCTCCCCTCCCTGGCTGGCAGCCAGCACAGGGCTCTGCACACAGTAGGCTCACAAGATGTTATGTTACTCTCTTTATCGTCATTGTTTCAAAGCTGCATTCCTAACATTCCCAATGCCCAGGACAAATTAAGCTTGTGGTAAATGTGAGCCGGGCCCATTCTCCGTGATGAAAACTGAGCCATCTTTTCTGGCTCCCACCTCTCAACACCAGCATATGCTCAGAGAGTGGGTGGGAGGGAATTGGGTCTGAGCATGGAGACACCCCAGGACCCAGGGCAGCTGGCAGCGGGGGGATGGGGGGGAGTGAGTCTGGTGGTAACAAACACTGGGGGGTCCTGGGTTTGGGGTCAAGAGAGAATGATGGCAGGCATGGGAAGAAGATCCTTGGGAGTGAAACCAGACCCGAGCACTGCCCGGACCCTGAGACCCTCTCCTCTTGGGAACAGGCGGTGAGGTATGGCCCCTAACAAGGCTCAGAAAAGAACTCTGCCCTTCAGGGAGCAGGCCTTGAACCATCCGGTGTCCCCTGCTTGGCCCCGCTTACCTTCACATAGTCCCCGCCAGCCTCTGGCTCTCCAGCAACCCTGGAAGAAGAGAAGAGAGGTGAATGTCCCCACCCTTTCCCGGCCCCCCGGCTGTCAGCACCTGGCCTGAGCACGCCAAGAAGGCTCATCCTGAAGACAAGCGGGGGCATGGCAGCTGATAACACTTACTGGAATCTGCTGGAGGGCTGCTGCTCCACTCACCAGCTGTGCAACCCTGGACAAGTCCCCTCACCTCTCTGAGCCTGGGTTTCCTACCTGGAAGTCGGGGACAATGACAGCCTTGGCCTCATTGGGTTGTTGCAAGGACTCTGGGAGCTGATCAGTGTTACATGCCTAACCACAGGCCTGCTTCCTGAATCATGCTGTCTTCACCCAGCGTCAGGACGCTCAAGGGTTCTTACCCTACTCCACTCCAAATGCTGGTGGCCCTGGGTTGGGGCTCAGCCTCCTGCCCACCCCCCATCCACCCTATACTCTCTGCCCAGTGCAGAAGGGCCCACTCAGCAGCATGCTGAGCTGGTGACTGTTGGCCGTGGTGGAATTGACCCCTTCCACCTTCAGGGGCCCGGAGTGACTATCCTTTCCAGGTGCCAGATTAATACTATCCTTCCTCGTGAAGGGGCTTGACCTTAACTGCCATCCCTTCTCTGATGCAGCCCAGAACTGCCCCTTCAATTCCTGTCCGGTAAACCCAACTGCCTCCTTAGCATCTCCTCTTGGATGTCTGAAGTCGCTGCGACTTGTCACATCTAAAGCAGGATGGTCGCTACCCGTCCCCCTGATGCCACGCCCCTGCTCCCCACATCCGCTTGCCACCTCAGTTGATGTCAGCTGCACCCTTGTTGCTTTCCTTGGCCAAAAAAATCTGCACTCCTCTGTGCCTCCTCTTCCACTCACCCTCCACATCCACCCCTTCAGGAAATCCTGCAGCTCTGCTTTCAAAATAGATCCTGACCACGTCTCTCCAAGGGGCGGTCCTTTCCCCACCCAGGAGCCCCGTGTGCTCTGTGGAGCACACAGCAAGCAGCCTTCTCGCAGGCTCTCTGCTGTTCTCACGCCCCACTCGGCCTCCACTCCACCCCCAGAGGCACTCAGGTGAGAACAAGCAGGTCACGTGCACAGAGCACCCCTCTCCCCCACAGTGCTTCATCTCCTGGAACAAGATCTAAACCCCTCTCTGTGGCCGGCAAATGGCTAGCTATGCCAGTCCAGAACTTTCTTCCCTTGTGAGAGTTAAGAGGTTATGCCAGAAAAACAGGCATCAACGGGGCCATATGTTCCCCAGCCTACAAGGCCTTGTGTAGCCTGGGGGTGCCTGACCACCTACCTTGCCAACCCCAACATGCCTCGCTCACTCATTCTATCCCTCATTCTGGCCAGACGCATTGGCCTCTTTGCCAAGTTCACTCTTGCGAGAGCCTTTGCCCTTGCTATTCTCTGCCTGGAACTCCCTGCTTCCAGACCTTCACGCAGCTCGCCTCACCCCTCATTTATTTGGGGCTCTGCTTAGTGTCCCTCATCAGAGAAGCCATCCCTGACCACCCGACCTAGAACAGTCCCTGGCCCTTCACTCTCTGTCTTCAGCCTCCTTTATTTTCCTCAGCCTCTGCCTGAAATGATCATTTTACATTTACCTGTTGAGTGTTTTTTTTTTTTAAAGATTTGATTTATTTATGTTACTCTCTGTAGCGTCATTGTCTTTATCGTCATCTCTACAGAGATCACAAGTAGGCAGAGAGAGAGAGAGAGAGAGAGATAAGTAGGCCCCCCATTGAGCAGGGAGCCCGATGCGGGGGGGGGGGGGGGGGGGGGGGCGGCGCGGTCCCAGGACTCTGGGATCATGACCTGAGCTGAAGACAGAGGCTTAACCCACTGAGCCACTCAGGCGCCCCCTACCTGTTGACTGTTAATTACCTGAAACCTTCATGAGGGCATTGACTTTGTCTCATTGTTAAGCCCCCAGCACAGTGCCTGGCACATAGTAGGAGCTTACGATTGCTTAAAGGAATATGTGAATAATAAGTACTCAAGCAGTGTGTTGATCACTAGCGTTAGGATTAATTTTGTCAGGCTGGGCCCTGGTTTTCTGGCTAGGTCAGGCCTCCGTAGTCCCATCTGCAAAACAGCAAGGGAAGTCAAACTCTGGGGAGCTGCTTCCTCCCATCCAGAAGCCCAATGTTTAAATTTGAATGTCATAAATTTAATAAAATAGATTGAATTTAAAACATACACCAAAAAATCTGAGCTTTAAAAAATCACAGATGAGGTGTGGATTCCCAGGGGAGAATTCCACACACGCGGTGCCCCCTGCTTCTGAGGCTAGGGGCTCCTCACTGAGAAGCTGTCTGACAGCCCTCCCTGTTCTGACATTCTAGAGTCCTTGCTGTTAACCTTCCCTTCTGCAAAGTCCTTCCTGACTTCAAAACATAGTCTCTCAAGCTCCATGCAGCCCAGCCACAGCCTTTTTGGTTCTCTCTGCCTAGCAGCGGTGGGAGCGAGGTGGAGTAGGGACCCCTCTCCTGCGCGGTTCACCTCTGCCAGCTTCTCCTGGTGAGGTGTCCCATCCCAGAGTTTCCTGCCATTCAGTCCCGGAAATCCGCTCACTGCTGGGAACAGATTGGCCAGGACACTGGGATCGCCCCAGTGCTTCCTCCTGCTTCCTGTCTCCTTCCCCTTGGGCCCTGGGGAGGGAACAGAGCCTTGTGGGGGGGGGTGACTGCACCAAGATACAAGTGGGCTGGGGTGGTCAGAGCCAATGGGGGAGCTCAGGGCAGAGGCCGAGACTCAGGAAGCTGCCGGCTTGGGGCTACACTTAGTCCCTATCACCTCACCCTGCCCCTCTACAACACTCCAGGATTTCCAAGACTTAATGTCACCGTGTCTGCCTCTGATTCACTGTTATCATTTGCCTGGACTATTGCCACACCTCATCACTGGCCTCCCTGCCTCTCTGTGTGTTGTTTGTGACTTGTTCTCACTCCAGCAGCCAGAGCACTCTATTAAAGTGAAAGATCACAGATCTCCTTTGCTCCAACCCACTGGAGTGGCCCCCAGTGTCACTCGGAGTAAGGGCTAAAGTCCTCCTGAGAGCCTTACAGACTGGCTTCTCACCATCTCTCACACCCAATGTCCTACGCTGCTCCCTTCTCTCTCGCTGCTCCAGCCACGCTAAGCTTCTTGCTGGCTTTTGTCCCCACCTCAGGGCCTTTGCACTTCCGGTTCCCTCTGCTGGAATACTTTCCCCCCAGGTACCACTGAGCTCGGACCCTGCCCTCCATCAGGTCTTTACTAAAATGTCCCCTTCTCAGTGAGGCTTTCCCTTGCCACCCATCTGAGAGTATGAACTTCTCAACACTCCCCACCTCACTTCCCTCTTTACTTTCCCTCTTTATTTCTTCTCTAAAGCGCTTCATGGGACCTGTCATGCATTGACTATCTTCTTCCACTAGAACACAAGCTCTGAGAGGACAGGAATTGGGATCTGCCAAGAGCAGTGCCAGCTACCCCATAAAGATTTTTTTGAATGAATACATGTCACACAGCAGCCCCATGCAACAAGATCTAGTTCTCAGGGCTCAGTTCTCTGTAGCTGGCACAGTCAGCCGTCCCTTCTCTCTCCCCTTGCTCCTCCTTGCACTCTAGCCTTCTTGCACTTCCTCCAAAGAGCCCTTCTCCCTCCAGCCTCAGGGCCTTTGCACATAACCTTCCCTTCTGCAAAGTCCTTCCTAACTTCAAAACATAGTCTCTAAAGCTGTAGCCCAGCCACAACCTTTTTGATTCCCTCTGCTTGGAACCTCCTCTCTCCCTTAGGGCCAGAGTGGTTCCGCCGACTTGGCCTTCAGATCTCAGTGTGCTTGGAGAGTTCTAGAACATTCTCCCTCCCATTGTAATGATCAAATGCAGAAATCAAAGCTTCCATTTTTAAAAACTCAGCTTTATCAATTAATTAACTTACTTTTTAAAAAAAGATTTTATTTATTTATTTGACAGAGAGAGAGATCACAAGTAGGCAGAGAGGCAGGCAGAGAGAGGGGGAAGCAGGCTCCCTGCTGAGCAGACAGCCCCATGAGGGACTCGATCCCAGGACCCTGAGATCATGACCTGAGCTGAAGACAGAGGCTTTACCCACTGAGCCACCCAGGCGCCCTAATTAACTTTTTTATTTCACGGACTTAAAAGGTACTTCCTCTCTAATATTAGTGGTGAAATCAATTAATAAATAATACTGACAATTGAGCTAAATCAGTCCCATTAATCAGCCACATTAATTATTCAAATAACCAACCCCTTTAATTGCCTGTATTAACTGATTTGTTCTGATAACTGATACCACTTATTGCATACATTAGCTTAATTAATTGGATTAATGAGCAGTAATTAGAGCCCATTATCCTTTATTTCCCCAACATAGGTTTAAATCTGAGCTTTACTTTCAAGGCTCCATCCTGGCCTGGGAGAAACAGTGAGGCTCCCCAAGGGATCCTGGAGGAGAGGTAGTAGAGAGCAGCTGCTGTCCCATCCCACCTTGGCCCTCCGTTGCCGTGGGTCACCTTGCCCTCTGCAGAGGCTGGCTGCCCATCCATCATCTCTCTGACCCCGTTTGTCCCCTTGGGGCTCCAGGCCTGGCTATGTGGCCACTTCCCCAACCTTTGCCTCCTGCTTCTCAGCTTTCCCCCTGCCTCCACCTCTCTGGGGTCCAACTGCCTCTTCTGTAAAGGGGGCCAGAGGGGCCATAGGATCCTGAGAAGGAAGGACGTGGAGTTCTCAAAGCCCATGAGCGTACTCTTGCTGCCCCAGCTCCCAGCCATGGAGATCTCCCATTCTGCCCTTCCTGGGGGACTGAAGATTCTTCCCACCCTTACTCCGACCATCGCTCAGCCCAGCAGAAAAGCAATACTGCTCTATACTCCTTAGCTTTTAAAGGCCCTGGGCAGAGAGAGCAGAGGCAGAAAGCCCTGTCTTTCCCCGGGGCACCTTGCCGTGGGCCCCTTGGGATTCTCTGCCAGGTAGGCTTTTGGCTTTAGCCCCTGCCCTGCCCCACGTCCTATAAGATGGGCCCACACTGTCTTGAAGACATCCTGCTCTTTCTCCACAATTCTGTGCTCTCAGTCTTCTTGACTATGGTGAATTTGCCAGCAGGTGTTCAATGAGGGGACAAGCCCTGTGAGGATAGGGCAGGTGGGAGCCACTCTTTCTAGGGCAGAACCGAGGCTTTTGAGCCCCGAGAGCTACTGACTGGTACTCAGAATCTGCTGGCAAAGAGCAAAGGGGTGGGCACGGGCGGAGCGCTGCCTGAATGCCGATAATCTGGAGGCCCTGCTCGAGAGGGGAGAAAACTGAAGTTTGTCACTTGGTCCAGGACACACAGCTGGCTCAGACTAGATCTGGATTGGCTCCCCTTTGTTCCTTGCAGGAGGCAGGCTCCCCTGGAAAAAGGGGCGTGCTCTAGGGTGGACAGGAGGAGAAGGTGGGGAGGGGAGGGCAAAGAAAATGAATATTTCAACTGGACCACGAGACCAGAATTGGCATCAAGAAGAAATGGAGCCGGGATGGTGGGGAGAGAACCCTCTCGGGCTCTGGAGAGGGCCCTCTGTTGGGAGGGAGGAAGCAGTGTGACCCTGGGCATGTTCCCCTCATTGGGCCTCAGTGAACTTTTCTGTAACATGGGTGTGCTGAGAGCAAGAGCAGTTCCTTGTACGGGTACCTCTCTGGACCAAGCTCAGGACAAACGCTCTACCTCATCTAGTCCTCACAGTGCCCCTATGACGCAGGTGCTGTTATTGTCCCTGATACCCAGATGGGGAAACTGAGGGTCAGATGGGGCAAGGGAGTTGCTCAGTGTTGTGCAGTCAGCGACATACCCAACTTCCTCCCCATACTCCACAGAGGTCCAGGATTCTGCAAACAAGGTCCCCTGAGAGTTTTTGGGGGGATGTGGCTCCAGCTGGGGGTGGGGGTACAGTCCATCCTTCCTGAGCCAGCGTAGTTCCCACAGCCTGAGGCATCCGGGGGTCTTGAGGACTGTGAGAAAGTCTCCACAGGAAATGAGAGCGGGGAGCAGCTGGGCCCCTTCCGAAGACAAGGACCAGCCGCCCAGAGCCTGAGGAGGCCGAACAGGCTGGGCCCACCACAGCCCCCTCCCCTGGTGGGTAATCACTACCAGATGCCCAGCAGCTGACGTCACTCTGCAGGGCCGAGAGGGTCGTGGGACTCTGGGGAGTGCTGGGAATTCTTGGACCAGAATCAACATTCCAAAAGGAAATGGGATAGGGGGTGGGGATGGTTCTGGGCCTGTTCTCAGTGCCTGGCACAGGGCTGGATGTCCCCAGCTCTCCTGTGGGGTGCCACCTTCTCCAAGTCTCCCTCTGAACAGCCCTGGGAGGGGGGGGTGGAGGGGCCTGGGGCTCTATGATCTGGCAGGGAGGAAAGGACGCTTGGGCGTGACACTTTACAATGAGTAGAACTGCATTCAAACCCTCCTCAAAGGAGAGGTCCTCATAAAACCTAAGTCAGAGTGAGGCCCTCCTCTGCTCAAGGCCAGCAATGGCTGCATCTCCCTGGGTCAAAGCCAGGTCCTTGCCAGGCCATCCAGGCCTTCCATTATCTGAACCTGTTTCCTCTCTGGCCTCGCCTCCCACCACTCCACTCCCCAGTCTCCCATCATCATCTCCTCCAGGCACTGTGGGTCTCAGCTGCTCCTCAAACATGCCAAGGATGCTCCTACCTCAGGGCCTTTGTACCTGCTGTTCCTTTGGTCTGGCACACTCTTCCCCAGATATCAAGAGGGTTTGTTCCCTCATCCCTTTGTTCAAACATCCCCTCAAAGAGACCTTTCTCCTGGCTAACTTTTCCAAATTGCTACCACCAGACACTCCCCTGCTACAACCAATTCCCCTAGCTGATTTCAATATTTCTCCCAGCACTTCTTTCTTCTGCATGACCATATAACACCTCGTCTTATCGTGTCTCCCCCACACTGGAACGGGGCTCCATGACAGCAGGGTTTTGTCTGCTCTGCTCACTGCTCTCTCCCCAAAACTTGCAAGAGTGTCTAGGGCATAGTTGCATCACAGTAAATATTAAAGTGAATGAAATTCCAACTCAACTAAATGTGTCATCTCAAGCAAGTTATTAACCTCATAAAACCTCAGTGTCTTCACCTGTAAAATGAGCTCCCATTATCTTTATTCCACGGGCTTATGGGAGGTCATTTAAGTAACATAGAGATTTGTACTTGGTGGGAGGTGAAATGTGGCCTAATGACTTGGGGGTTGGTCAAGCCTGGGATCAAATCTAGGCTCTGACACTTTATCTCTCTGTGACCCCAGGAAAATCCCTTCCCCTCTCTGAGTCTTGCTTTCCTCCATGGTAAAATAAGCAGTAGAGGTTCCTCTTCACAGGGCCTAGGTGGTAGACGGTACCCGTGGGGTGCTTCAGGCAGGGTCTGGCTGGTTGTGAGCCGGATCTTGACCTCTTGGAGGACCCTGACCTGACAATTCCTGTGTGCGGGCAGGGGTGTGGGTGGAAGGTGCTGGGGCCTCCTTCCTTCACCGGGCCTCCCCTTCCTCCTCCTTAACACTGACTGAAGGGGAGGGTGTCAGGGCTCTTTGGACCTGCTATTTCCCCGAAGAAGGCTGAGGTGCCAGGAGCGGGGGGGTAGGGGGAGGCGAGGTTGGTGCTCTCCTTTCTGGGAGCTAAAGGCCCTTCAGCCCTTGTGCTCCTGGCCCCTCCTCCCTCCTTCCTCCTCATCCCCCATGATCTCAGCAGGAACGGGGCACCAGGAAACTCCTGCAGCCTCACCTCTTCCCCTTCCTTCCTTCTACTCCAGGTGCACCCTGCCTCCCAGGGGGGAGGGGAGGGACACCATCTACCTCGGCCAAGACCATTCCCTGAGCAGCCACTGAGATGACTCCCTTGGGATACTTGGGGTTGGGGCCCCGGTCTTGCTCAGTGGCAATTCTCAAATACCTTCTTCTCCAAACTGTATGTATCATCTGAGACCATCCAGTTCCATCCGGGCTGCTGAGAGATTGAGGCCCAGAGTAGGGCAGGGCAAATCTGAGATCATACAGGCAAAGCAGCTCTCCGGGACACAGTGCTGGGCTTTGGGGGCTCCGGGAAGAAACTCTAATTCCTGGTCTCCTGCTTGGCCTGGAGGGTCCCACTGGGTCTCAGGACAGCAGGAGGGGCTCAATCAGATCTGCTAACCCCACCCCCCTCAGGACCATTGGACACTGGCTGATTGGGGGAATGGAAGGCAGTCTGTCTATTTCCTCTGCCTGCTGTAGGCCAGGCCTGATGTGGCTGCCAGGAAAACAGAGGCCCCTGCCCACAGGAAGGAAGCCTGGGTGCTAGACTTGATAACCTCAAAGGTTCTCAGGACCATCCCTCCCAGAGGGCTCTATTGGAGGGTAAGGGGCTGCCCATTCTTTAAAGGCACGAGCCAGGAGGCGGAGTTCTAACCTATACTGTCGCAAACCCGGCAAGTAAATCTCCCTTTCCTCATCTGTAAAATGGGGACGATAATTGTGTCCCTCTTCTGGGGCTGTTGTGAGGAGTAAATGCGCAACCTGTGCGAGGACAAGACAGGCACAGAATTACACCAGAAGGAAGCTTAAAAGTCCCTGATGCTAACAGGGCATCCTGCTTTGTTGGTTGCCCCAAGGGCACTGATTTCCCCTCAAACCATTCCCAGCCCCTCAGGCCCTCCTCCGGGCCAGCTCGGTCACTCACCCTCTAGGTCCCAGTGCGGGGCATCTTCGTCCCACTGCAGTCATGGTTCCCCGCGGTCACTGCCTGCAGCCTGTACACCTCCTCAGCCCGACAGCTCCCGCCTTTCTCAGGCCACGAAGCTGTGGAGCTCAGTGCCCGACTCCGGGGGCGGAGCCTGACCTGTAGACCACGCCCCGGGCACGCCCCTCGTGGGGCGGGGGCCGCTCCACAGCCTACATCACCAGCCGGGAAGGACACGCCCCGCTTCGAGCACGCCCCTCCGCCTCCTGTCTCGCTCCGCCCTCTCCCCCCGTCTGTCAGCGTCCGGGGCCCGGAAGGCCACGCCCCCCGAGCACACCCTTCCTCCTCGGCCCGCCCAGTTCCAACGCCCGCCTCCCCCGACTGCTCGCCGCGCAGCCTGAAAAGGACACGCCCCCTAGACACGCCCCTCCACGCGCCCGGCTCCTGCAAACTCCCAACGCACATCTCAGACCTTAGGATGCCTCAGAACGGCCCGGAACCTATCAGACCCTCTCCCTTACATACAATCCTTGCTCCTCCACGCCCAAGTAGGGCTGGACTAAGTAGGGGGGATGGCAGAGGACCGCAGCCTGGAGCAATTAGAGACGAAGGAAAAGCACTTCCACTTTGTGGTGTGCCAAGCCCTGTGCTAAGATTTTACAAGTCCTGTATGTTATTCTTGAATTCCCCTCACGCCCCTACAAGGTAGGTGCTCTCGTTATGCCCTTCCATCAAACGAGGAAACTGAGGCTTAGAGAAGGGAACAGACTTATCCAAGGTCATGCAGTCAGTAAGAGGCAGAGTCTGGGCTGGATTCATTCTGCAGCTTTACAAAATCTTTCTCCCCATTGAACAGCGGTCTAGACACAATTACCCCAGCACACAGAATCTGTGCTTGGTGTCTTGGAGAAAATCCACTGAAGGGAGGTCCCAGAACCAGCCCTAGAATTATTTTTGCTCACCTGGGGGTTTTTTCCTCTTTATTTCAAGAAGCACATCTGATGGGTGTGGTTTAGACACAGGCTGTGAGGGTTGAAAAGCTGGAGACTGCTATGGTTGGGATTGAACGGGTTCCCCAAGGGCACAAGCACACAGCTGTAAGTCTTCAAAGGTGGTGGGTACAATGTGAGACGTGAGTGTGTGGCCACAGGAGACAAGCAGTTTTCTGCTCAAATCCAGCTCTACCACATTGGGTGAGTCTCAGTTTCCCCATCTGTAAGATGGGGCTAATGACAGATGCTTTTGCAGAATCGTCCGTGAGTAACATTGGTTTTGACACCCAGTAGAACGGGTACGTCTTAAATGGGAGCTAGGGTCATACCATCACAATCTGTATTTTTGCATGAATTCGACTCACCCAATAAACAAGTTAAGTGGCAACCAAGGGGAGCAGTGTTGTCCAACAGAACTAAAGGTGGTGATTTGGGTGTGGGGGCCCTGGGCGGGGATCCAGTGACTGGGTCTGGCACCCAGCTAGCCGCTGAGGGCCCCTGCTAGAGGCTGTCTAGGGCAAGTCAGGTGGGTCTTAGTTCAAATACCACTTTGTCATTTGCCAGATGTGCAACCTGACTGGGGCAGACAACTTCCCTCTCTGAATCTCAACTTCCTTGTCAGTCATATGGAAACAACAGAATCTGCCCCCCCGCCAGGTGTTTTTGTTTTGTTTTGTTTTTTGAGAATTAATTGCAAGTGAAGGATGAAGCACAGTGCCTGGTCTGTAGTAAGTTAATGTGTAGGGCTTTTATCCCCCACCCAATGTGGGGGGGTGGTCCTCTCCAGGCTCTATTGGCAGGAGGCTTAGAGACACCATCCCTGCAGCTCCCACCCTCCCCTTACCCCGGTGGGCACCAACCTTTCTGGAGGCACATTCCTGGGGCCTCTTTCTTCTTTTCCGTCTGCCCTGAGATCCTCAGGCTTTTCCGTGGGGCCTATTGCCGAAGGATTGGGTCCCACTGCTAGGGTGTCCTCCAGGGGGACACTGGTCCCCACCACCGTCTCCTTGGTTGCCTCTAAGCCTGGAGGGTTGGGCAGATCGTGGGGCGCCAAGTGGGGTTGGTCCACTTCCTTGGCCTCCTGGGTAGCCTGTTGGTCCCGAGCCTTCCTGGTGCTGAGACGAGGCATGGTGCCCATGTGGCTGTACATGTCACTGGAGCGGGCATAGGCTGGGGGGCTTTTGGGGACAGTGACCATGTCATCCTGTGTAGCCTCAAAGGGGTCAGGCTCCAGATGGGACCCGAGACTGAGGGTGGTTGAGGGCCGTTTCAGAGTGAAGGACCGAGGGAGGTTGGAGAGACTCCCGAGCCCCTTGAACTTGAAGAACTCTGGTAGGGGGGGAAGGAGGGAAAGGGTTAATGTCTACAGCATTAATAATAACAATAAAAAACACATGTTGTTCCTCCTATAGAGGGTTCAGGGAGAGTCAGGGCTTCACAGACATCCCCTCTGTTATGGTATAACCCAGCAGCTCTAGAGTCACGGAGCCCTGGCTTTCAATCCCTTCTCTTGCACATCCTAGCTGTGTGACCTTAGGCAAGTTGCTTGACCTTTCTGAGCCCCATTCTCCACATCGGCAAAATAGAGACTGTAGTACCCACTTCCTGTGGGCAGCAGGAGGTCTGAAGGAAAGCTTGTAAGTAACATAATAGCCTGCATAAGTCATGGAGACAATGATGGTGATCACAGCAAATGCCTCTGGTCGGTCAGATATACTGCAGGCATCAATTCCCAGCACAGTTCAATGGCACAAGTTAAATTTCCCTTTTTGCAGATGACGAAGTGCGAGTTAGAGCCGTGGAGGGAACCGCCCCAGGTGGCATAGCCAGGGAGTGAAGCGAAGCGTATATTTGTGTGCTTGGGGAGAGGAGGGGCGGGGGTGTGGGAGGCGTGTTTGAGCACCTGGGGTGGAGGGGGTTGTTGGGAGTCTGGGGGGCCCACTCTCTGAGGTTCTGTACTTCCTGTCAGCTGAGTGCTCCTTCCTGACTCAAGCTGCCGGGCTTGGGTGATACTATCTTCTCATTTCCGCAGGAGAGCGTGTGAGTTCCCCCCATCCCCCACCCCCCACTGTGGGACTGCCCCTCCTCGAAACCACCACCATCTGACAACCCTATGGCCTCCAGATGAGCGAAAAGGGAAAACCTTGGCATTCTCACTTCCTGGGCACCCTCTGCCTCCTCGGGTCCTCACCACCATGCTGGAATATATAGGTAGGATGTCCCCATTGATGAGAGAGGAAACAGGCCCAGAGACAGGAGGGGCTTGCCCAGGGTCACACAGCAGGGCTGAGCCTTGATGACGGTTCAGGGCTCTGGGTGGCTGGGGTCAGTGTTCTGGGGCTTTCCTCCTAGCCAAGCCCACTCCCTCCTTGGTCTTAGCCTCTGCCTTCTGACGAACACTGTCCGAAAATTCTGATGCCCGGCTCTTGGAAAGCTATGCCATGGGCCAGAAATGTGCCAGTTGTCAGGAGGGGGACCAAAACTGTGGTCTCCTGGG